GGCGGTGGATCCCTCCCTCGCGCTCACCCGACGACTCGCGGCCCAACTGCCTCAACCAGTTACGTACCGCACCCGGGAACTGCCGCGAACCGATCAAGTTTTCATCGCATAGCTCACGCACCATATCCATATGTCCAAGTCTCGTCGCACATCAACGGCGCGCCTGAAGACGAGGGGCTGCGCCGTTGGACGACAAAGACACCCGCGGACATGAGGGGCGCGGGTCGCGCGCCCATCGCGCACCCCCTCCTTCTCTTCCCAGCCCAAGGGATCGGGGGGCCAATGAGAGGTGTAGCTGCGTTGAGCCTGCCCCAGACGTCGCCGCCTCCAAAGCTCAACTCTGCGGGCGCGATCGTCATCCACAGCAGCTGGGGCAGGGCAATCAAGGTCGTGATCGTCCTGGACGCGCGCCTCCTTATCCGGGCAGGCTGGGCTATCTGCCTGGCAGCGCACCTTCGAGTAGCTGGCCGCGCCGCAGCTTGGTCGCGCGCAATGCCGAAGGCGCTGGATCCGCATTGGCCCGGCGCCCTTCGCCCCCCGCGACTCCCAGATCATCCAAACCTGCGCCGGCCAGAGGCCAACGGCTGGGTGCCACCCAGCCGCGCACCCACGGGGGCCTCGCACGCCTCACATGGCGTTCAGCGCCACGCGTCGTAAACTGAGCGGCGTCACCATCTCGAGAAAGCCGAACTCCACGCCGATCTCCTCGTCAGTGCCGGCGCGGCTCAGGACTGAAGGCTCGGCGGAGGAGCCGCGGGCGACTCCTTCGCCCGCTCCTCGCCCGCGGCCGAAGACGCAGCAGCAAATCGCTCGCGAACCTTGGCCAAGACATCCGCGTCGGCGGCCTGGGCGAGCGGCCAGGTGGACGCGAGCCCCCTGGGCTCGACGGCGACCGTGGCAGGGGCTGCTGGCTGGGAAGCCAGCGCTGGGCCGGGGCCCCGCGCAAGCGTCGCGGGCGGGCTGGCGGCTCCACCGCTCGGTGCCCCGCTGCCGTTGGCGATGGCGTCGGTGTCCCTTTTCTCGGCCTGGAATCGCTCCTTCTGCAAGCGGTGCGCCCTCTCGTGCTCCTGAACCTCTGCTCTGACATGGCCGACGGCCCCCCTCCTCCTGCGCCGGGGCGTTGGACTGCGACACCTCGCGGCGCCGTTGGGCCTCGGCCCAGACGGACTCTTGCACCTCGCACTCGTCCAAAGAAACCCTCGTCGTCGAGCTTCCAGACTTTGCCCTCGAAGACGGTCCGGAGGCTGAGCCTGGGCATCGTGACCTCTGCATGGTCGTCCACGCTGGGTCGCATCGGCGCTGCCGCCGTTGCCAGAGTCTGCGCCGCAATTGTTAAGTCGCGGTGGTTTACTCCACGGAAGCCGCGCAGCCCGCGACCCGCAGCATGATATTTCCGAAGCGGTCCTGCACGTCCTCAACCGTCGCCGTTGTTTTGAACCGGTCAATATCATAGACCTCCTTGGCGGCGATGACCACGTCCACGGACAGGAGCTGCTGCTTCGCACGATCACGCAAGGAGCCGAGCTGCTGCGAATGCTTGGATTAAGCGGGGGTGTCGCCCGAAAGGTGCAGCAGTTCCACCATCTGGACCAGCTTGGCATTTTCGGGGTCGGCCTCGCGCGCGTCGGCGCCCACGGGGTCGCTCAAGGCGAAGGGGACAACACGCCCCGCACGCTGGGGTTCGCGAGATGGCGTCCTGCGGCGCCAGGGGGCCGCCGCCGCCCGTCGCTCGCCGCTTGGCACGCGCCGCTCGGGTCTTGGCCTGCGGCGGGGAGAATCACCGCTGCCAGCCACGCCAAGCGACAGTGATGCCCTGCAGCGCCTGCGCCAAAGCCACCACGGCGGGTTCTTCGGGCAAACGCACTGCTCGCAGGGTGCCGCGAAGGTTTTTTTTGTTCTGCGCCATGCATGTGCCAGACGGGAATGGAAGGAAAAACAACTGCGTAAACATCAACTTTCGACGATTCACGCGGATTTCTCGGATCTGCGCCAGACCCACCTCCCCTGGCGCGCCGAGCGCGCCAGGGGCGGCGCCGCCGGGGGTGCCCCAGCGCGGATCCGAGAAACCCGCGCGGAACGCCAAAGTTGAAAGCTTATGACCGTGGCGGCCTATGGCGCGCGTTCGTCTTCGATTCTTCTCTGCGCCGCGCGTGATGTGCCAGACGGGAGGATGGCTTCCGTGGCTTTCGAGCAGGCGCTGTCGATCGCCTGAGACGCGGAGACGGTCGCGGGCCTCCGCGCGCCGGCTTTCGCGCCCTGCGGCGTCCAGCGGGCAAGCGCGGGCGTTTTGCGCTGGGGGGGTGCCCCGCCGTGCGGTGTTCGGGGCGAGCGCTCGGCGGGCGATCGACCGCCGTGGGGGAGACGGCTGCGGCCGCCGCGCTGCGAGCTACTTCGGGAGAGGAGCACGTCGAGGAAAAAGAGCGAGGGGAGATGAGGGAATTCAACCAGCCCGTATCATAGGGATGCGCGACCAGAATGAAAGGGCCTTGGACGCCCATTTCGAAGTTTTCCGAGCGGGGCGCGGCCAACGAAAGGGGCAAGGATGCAAGGGTACCCTTGGGAAGGTTGCCCATCTTAATCTGCGGGTTGACTGTAAATGAGGATGTATAAGGAAGCGGACGAGCGAGGATGCACGGAGGAACGAAGCGCCAAGACAGAGAGAGGACGACGCTGTTGCGGGAGGAGCACGCGCGCATCACACGTCGACGAGCCGACGTACCTGTGGCGTGGAGCTCTAGGACGGCCGCACCCCGGCGAGGAGAGAGGGAACACACGTGGGAGCCGTGGTAAAACAGGGCTAGGATCGGGATAAATCGCTCCAGAACGTTCCGGAGCGCTCTCAGAGCGTTCCGGAACGCTCTGGAGCGGCCGCGGCGCCCAATACATCCTCCAAACCCGCCGATTCTCAGAGATTTCGAGTTATCCCGATCCGATTTTGTCCCGATCTTCGCGTCGTTTGACGTGGCGAGGCTGCCCGATGAGGCAGCTCTCGAGAAGCCTCCGAGCGCGCGCGCCGATCCCCCCCAAAAAGCGGGGGGGGCCTCCGGGAGCCTGCAACGGGGCCCCCGCGAGGCTCCGCGAGCACTTTTGATCGGCTTTTTCCAGGCAGGGGGTGGCGCCCTGGTTCCAGGCTCAGGAGGAAAAAGAAACACACAAACACAATTAATCCTCGATTTCCCAGAAAATACGGGAAAATATGAAAGTGGGCGGGAGGAGAAAAACCCAGAAAATATTTGAAAATATGAAGAATATTTATATTTGTGCGAATTTATTTGTGTGTCCCAATGCTCCTTCACAGGCCCCGGACGGCCTGGCTTGGTTGGGGGATCTTCTGAGCGGGGTCAATCCAGACCCGGGTCAGCAGGAAACCAAAAACTGAAATGCAAGAAAACAAAAACTGCAACGCAGGTCTTCGCAAACCCGGGTCTGCCAGTGTGCGCGGCCGCCTCGCGGCCACGAGCGGCTCGCTAACCCAGGTCAGCCAGAGGGGGTCTTCGCAGGATCCTGCAGGATCCGGTGACCTGGCCGACCCCCGTTTGCATTGGCCCCCGTCTCGAGGCCCCCGACGGCCTGGTTTGGTTGGAATGCGCGTGGGACCGGATTCCGCTCGACCTCATCCCTGGCACGGACGCTGCGCCGCGGACTGCTCTTTTCTGGTGGGCCCTCGGGCCCGGGATGGGCTCGAGGCCCAGGCACAGGAAGATCGGCCACCGGCCACCCTCATCCATCAGGGGGAGGAGTGCGAGAATGAGAAGGGAAGCAGGGCTGTGAGAAGGACGATAGTGAGGGAGCAGGACAGGGAGAAGGAGGGAAGGAGGAGGAGGAGGGGGAGGAGGAGGAGGAGGAGGAGGAGAAGGAGGAGGAGGAGGAGGAGGAGGAGGAGGAGGAAGAAGAGAAGGATGAAGAGGAGAAGGAGCTGAGTTTAGCTGAGTCGCCATGGACCCCTCCATTGAATAGCGTCTGCCGCCTGAGAATGTCATATAAAGACTCGATAAGAATGACGAAGGGGGGGAGGGGTAAAGGATAGTTGGAGGAAAGAAACGGAAGAGGCATGTAAAAAAGGAGGGGGGAGAAACGGAGGGGGCAAGGGGCAGGGTATGTGAAGAGTGAAGCGGAAGGGAGGGATGGGGAGAGAAAGAGGGAGGGGGAAGATCATCGCTCCTCCTCCAGCTCATGTTCTTCCTCCTGCTCCTACTTGCCCTCTCCTTCTCCTCCTCCTCTCCTTGCTCCTTCTTGTATTCTCCTCTGCCGTTCCTTCCCACACTCCTTCCTCTCCTCCTCCATCCCCTTTGTGACCCACCCTCTCGCACTCCTCCTTGCTTCTCATCCTCCTGCTCCTCTTCCTGGAAAAGCATATAAGTACTGACAGCCGTGGCGACGACGGTCTCCAGAACGAGCAACGGTATCGCTATGTTTTCCTTCCGTACTTTCTTCCTACCTAATCCTCCCTCCTCCGTGCCACCCTAGGAGGTGCAGAGGGAACATACGAGCGAACGAACGACCACCAATGCGGACGGCAGTCAGGGCCTGCTTGAGACCAGTTGAGTGAGGCCGTGGATCCAAAGCACTACCTGTTGCGTATGGTGAAGCACGCGTGCAAGACAGATCACAAGTATGTGAAACGGAAGGAGGGGGATGAGGAGTGGGAGGAATCCTTGCCCGTGGAGTCGTCGTGCACATGGTGGTGCTGCGCCGTTGCGTGGGCGTGCCGTCGTGACGATTGCTCCATGGCGGCCTGTGTTGGTGCCAGGAGGAGGAGGAGGAGGAGGAGGAGGAGGAGGAAAAGGAGGAGGAGGAGGAGGAGGGAGGAGGAGGAGGAGGAGGAGGAGGAGAAGGGGAGGGAGGAGGAGGAGGCCGTGGGAGGTGCAGAGAGGAGGACGGCAAGCCGAGGCCACGGACCCGCCCCCCCGTCGGAAGGGAGTGGGGGGGTGGGGGTGGGGTGGGTGGGGGGGGTGGGGGGGGGGCGAAACCCGCTGCGAGCCCCAGAGAGGAGGGGGCGCCTTCACCGCCGCCGGCGCCGCTGCGGCGCCACCCTGTTGGATGGGGGTGGGGCAGGACGGCGAAAAGAGGAACCAATAGGGTTAGGTCGGGCCTGTCCCCTTACATGGGGATTTTGAGTGAAAAATAAAACATCTTTGAACAAAACTCCAAACATGCCCAAAAATACTCAACACAATAATCCCCTGACAATTTTTCTACAATTTTTGAACATTCCCCCTGTAGAGGGATTGGCCAATGACACAAACATAAAAGCTCGGAGGTCCGCGCAGATCGCTCGGATCGGCGCTGGACGCCCCTCCTCGGCGCCGCGCGGCGCGCGCCGTGGGCGGCGCCAAAGGTGCCGCTAGGGGGCTCCAGCGCCGAACCGAGAAGTCCGCGTGGACCTCAGAGTTTTGATGCTTCTGTCCTTGTTCGCTCCCCGGAGCGAGGGAAGGGGGGAGGAGGACCTTGGCCAGGAGAACTGGGAAGGGGCATGTGAGGAGGGGGGAGGGCGATCGGAAGGGGGAGGGGGAGGAAGGGGGCGGTCGGGAGAGGGAGGCGAGGGGGGAGGAGGGGATGGAGGGGGAGATGGGTCGACGAAGAGAAACTGGTGCACGGCTGAAACCCTCGAAGTCCGCGCGGAGTTCTTGGATCGGCGCCGGGGCCCCGAGGGGCCATGAAGGCACCAGTCGGGAGGGAACTTCTGGGAAGACTATGTAAGAACGGTGTCAAGGGCTATCACGCCCGACGAAACAGCCACTGAGCCAAACAGGGGTTAACGATCCATGGATTTGGCGCGCGGTCGCCTAATCCATGGATCGGGGAAAGTGCCCTCCCCAAAATGCGGCCGGTGCCGCCTCGCTCGGCGGCGAGGGATCCGCTCCGAGTTCTGCGAGAAATCCGCTCCTTGCCGTCGCTCGGGCGTCCATTTCCCGTACAATTGTTCGGTTCCGTGCGTGTTCTTCTTTTTGCTCGACGGTCCAGGATGGTCCTCGATGGTCCTCGCCGAGAAAAAATGCACACGCCCGAGCGATGCCAGGGCTCCGAGAACTCCGACCAGAAGGGGGTCAACGGCCGATCCGAGAAGTCCGCGCCGCGGATTCCCCAGGCCTGCGCGCTCGGCAACGCCTATATTGGCTTATGCGGAGGCTCTCCCTTTGTGTAGGGAAGCCGCCCGCTGCGCAACACCAAGCACGCAGCAGCAGGAGAGGGAAGAGAGATGAAGAGGGGGAGGAGCGAGAAGGGGGAGTGATCGAGGGAGAGTGGGGGGGGGACGGGGAAGAGATTGGGAAGTTGGATGGGAGAGGATGATTTCAGAGAGGCGGGATAAACCGAACACTGTAAGTAACATGGAGGCAGAAGTGGCCGGTCGGGACTGAACTAATCTGGCAAGGGTTGAGGCGAGACAAGAAACGGTTGGACTGAGGTCGTCGGCGCTGAAACAACTAAAGGCAAGCTGGCTTGGGCTTGAAATAGAAATAGAGCTGGTCGACACAACTGCTACACATAATAACAACACCGTGTTAGCCATCTTGGAGCCCATACAATCAAGTATTGCACTTTGGATGTCTACGCTACGTGGTGCCAGCTGCCTGGTTAAGCTATGTGATGCAAGATACGTGGTCCGATCTGTGTGGTGCGAGCAATGTGATGCAAGCTATGCGATGTAGGCTAAGTGGTGCAGTCCACGTGGTGCAAGATATGCGACATGCTGTGCACGCTATGTGATGCAAGCTATGCAATACAGCATACCTGGTGCAAGCTACGTCATGTAAGCCATGATGTGCAAGTTATGTGGTGCAAAACATGTGGTGCACGCGATGCTGTGTAATCTGCGTTGTGCTCACTACGTGGTGCAACCTGCGTGGTGAAATATGTGTGGAGCAAGCTGCATGGTGTAACATATGTGGTGCAAGCAGTGTGGCACACAGCGCACACGTTTGATTGGTACAAACATCAAGGACTCCCCGCTTCGCGCTCCGCGCTGCGCAAAGCGCGAACAGCGAACACCTTCGCGCTCTCGCGCCGCCTCCCCGGGGGAGAAGAGGAGGACGAGGAGGAAGCGGGGCCGAACCGCGAAGCGCGAAGAGCTGGGCGCCCGCCCTCGAGACAAGCAGCTGAGCGCCCACGAGGCGCCCACTGGTGGGCACCAAGCGAAGCCTCGGCATGCCCGCCCAGCGCGCGGCGCGCGCACGGGCGGGTTACCAGGCAGAAACCTCGGCAGACCATCCCAGCGCAGGCAGGGCGTCCACGAAGCGACCATGGGCGGGCACCGGGCGAGAGCTCGGCATGCTCGGCGGGGGACAGACCTCCCTTTCGTAGACCTCCCCTTCGTGAAAACGGCCTGGGACCGAAGTCGACAGACCCGGACCCGCAAAGATGACGGCCGCGACGCCCTCTCGCGAACCGAAAACAGCCAAGTCTGTCCAACCCCGGCATGCCCCCCCCCCAAGCACAGGGCGCCCACGAGCGCACACGAGGCGCCCACGGGCGGGCACTGGGCGGGCATCAGCCAAAGTGAAGCCCCCCCGAGCGCCAGCGCTGCCCTGGGAACGGCCGCAGCATGCTTGACAGCGCCGATCCGATGATCCACGCGGACCTCCGACAATCCATCTGTACCTTCCGACTTCCCTATCTGAAGCCGTCGAAGACGGAGCTGAGGCGGATGGGGTCGGAGAATCGCGCCGCGTCGCCGCTGCATCGACGACGTCGGGATCGGTAGTTAATCACGGACTCCAGGACGCGCCGCACCGCCGATGCATCGGCGATTCGGCGCGATCCTCCAACCCCAATGTTGGGAATCGAAATCTATACGCCGACGCTGTTCCCGGCCCCGCACTTGAATACGCACAGGAGAGCGGATCCTGGTGTATACGAGATCCTGGTGTATACATGCTCCGTTGCTTCCCCGGGAAAACGGGGGAAACGTGTACACCACACAACCCCGACGCTGTCCACGACCCTCCGAAAAGTCCTGGGACTGAGAAACATCGGGTGTTGCTAGAAGTGCTCCTGGCCCAAGGTGCCCCCAGCTTTTCGCTCCATTTTCGAGTCCCTGGGGCCCTCTGGGCCTCGTGAGGGGTGCTCTGAAGGCCGCCTGGGCCCCCCCCGAGAATCCTGGGGGCACCTTGGGCCAGGGGTACTTCTAGCAACACCCGAAAACAGCCCGCCACCAGTAATGTCTATGCTCCAGCTTCCGACCGTGCTCCGGCCCCACGTGGGCGGCCTGAGCCCACGCCTCCCGCACGGCAGGCCCCCTCGCACTGCAGCGGAAGACGCGACGGCTACCTCCGGCCTGGAAGGGGTAGGTGGAAGCGTGAAGCAGACGGCGTGGATCGCAGATTGGGCTCCGTCCCCCCCGAGGAGGACGGAGAAGGTGGAGCCACTCGATCGTTGGAGTAGGAGGGCGCTCCAAGCAGATCCGAATCTGGGAACCCACAAGAAAAAACATACTTTCAACCACCGATGCACTTTTTGGGGGGGACACCTTGGCCACTGAGGGGGGGCCCTCGAGCGCCCGGGCCCCGGGGCTGTCCCCCAAAAAGGCAGCCCCGCGGTCGAAGAAGCCTGCTCCCGAGGGCCTCCCCAGACCTGATCGCGTCGTTAACAAAAATCAGGAAGGGAGGTTTTTGGTCGATTTCGGCCCCTGGGAGCCCTCAATGAACCTCGGGGCCGTTCAAAACCGACCCAGGATGAAACACCGGTCCCAGAGAAAGGATCGGGGTTTCCAGGGGCCCCGTATTGGAAAAATCAAGACGTCGCACGTCTGGGTCTGGGCAGCCGCGGCACCCCATGCGCCCGCGCCAGGCTTGCTTTCCACCGCCACCACAATACGTAGGAGGGGGTGGGGGTCCTCCTCCTCCTCCTCCTCCTCCTCCTCCTCATCCTCCACCTCCTTCCCCCCGTCCACCTCATGATGGCGGTGGAAAAAAAGGCCCATCAGGCGATTCGAACCTCATCGGCGCGGACCGTCCCCAAGCTCAGACGACCGAAATGCGCATGGACGCTGCCCAACAGCGAATCCGGTCCCAAACCGACAGCGGCCAGTGTTGGGCAGGACACTGCTGGTCCCAAATGGAACACTGCTAGTCCCAAATGGACAACGTTCGCGGCGACAATGGCAGCGAGCCCTGTTAAGACTGGCCCGTGCTTTCCGTACCCATCCTGGTCGTACCGAGGACAACCGCGGTCCAAAACCACTCCCGGGGAAACGGCCCAAACCTCCGACACCGTCTGTTCAGCAGGGACCGACCGACCCGGCATCTCGAGATGCATGCCGCAAGTCCGCTTCAATCTTGGGGGTCTCCCGTCAAGAGCCATCCCGGAGCAGCGCGGCGCGCATCGACTCGGCCGCCTCGCATTCATGAAGGGGCCCTGGAACACACAAAGAACTACACACAAATAACAGGATTCCCAATATTTTCCTATATTTGTTGGGTGTTTGTCTTCCCCCCCACTTCCCATATTTTCCCATATCTACTAAGGAATCGGCGTATTTTCTGGGCAATCGACGATTCATTGTGTCTGTGTGTGTGTGTGTCTTTCCCTCCTGAATTCAGCATGCTTCCCCCAGATATTGCGGAGGTGGGGAAGTTCGCCCTGGAGACCCTGGGCTTATCCCTATCCCTAAGATTGACACGCCAAAAGGCGATGACAATCTTATGGATTCGTCCTCGAAAAATAAGGGAATCCCTAAGATTGGCATCGTGATGAAGAGATACCCAGCATAGGGATAGGGATAGGTTCCAGGCTGGTAAATCTGAGGGGAAGGGGAAGGGGGGGGCTCGTCGAACACCAAAGCCTGCAAGAAGGGCGGCCCTTCGCGCAACTCGAGCCGCGCGGGCAGGTGCGGACCGATGTTATTGATGCGCTGTAGAGCGATCTCATCCCATTCACGACATTGGCGATGCCATTCCACGGGGAGATCCAGCATCTTCACCCCGCCGGTCTGGCACGTGCCGTCGCGAGTGGGGTCTGGAACATGCCCTGCAAGTTTGTTCAAAGAAACCGCTCGCCCAAACATCCCCGGGGCTCGCGCGGCAGCCCCCCGCCGCGGGCACCTCTGTAGCGCGGATACCAAAGATGCTGCCAACAGAATTCGGGATGCCGCGGTTGCTGTCCGAGAGGTCGTCAGGACAGAACGCGTCAACCGAGCCGACCTGCGCCTAGGCTCAGGTTGGGCCTGTCCCCCTACAGGGGGATTTTGGACGAAAGATAAAGGAGACTCAAACATACCCAAAGTATGCCCCAAAATACTAAAAAAAGAATCCCAGGAGTGTTTTTGTTTGAATATTCCCCCTGTAGGGGGACACGCCAAGCCCGACTTTCGCCTAGACGTGACCACCCCCTGGGAGGCGCACTGCGCCCGCCGCGGCCCCAGCAGGGCCGAGCCTGGAAGCGCCGCGGGGGAGGCGGCGCGCGCCGAGGAGGCGCCGGCCGGCGATGGCAGCTCCTCCCGAGCAGCCTTCGCCTTCCCCTGGAGGCGCACGTCGGATTCATCCATTATTGACAGGGGCCCTGGGACGCACAAATAAATAGACACAGGATTCCCCATGTGTGCCCATATGTTCCGCGTTTGTGTCTCCCCCCCCCGTATTTTCTGGGGAATCGACGGTCATGTCTGTGTTTTTTTCCCCTGCTGAAGTATATCCGCTGCGCTGGCGCCACGCCGATGCCGCGCTGCAGAATTCCTGACTGGCCAAATGGTGTTCCTCGTCGGCCGCGGCGTGGGCCCGTGCCCCGAGTTGCCGCCCCCTCGCGCGACCTCCATGGCGTGGCGCTGCAGGTCTCAAGACTGAGACAACACCACACCGATCCCTGGATGGGGCAGGGGGGGCCCGAACTACAGCCGGCACGGATTAGTAGGTCGATCCTGCCGGATCAGGGGTACCCTTGTGTCCTGTGTCTCGCGACCTACGCCTCCTACATTCCTACGGCAATGTGGCACTCGGAAGGGTCTTGTGTCCTCCCGCGAGTCCTGTCCAGGCCGACTGTAAGCCGAAACGGGAGCCAGCCCCGACCCGAGAGGAGATGCGCTCGTCCCCGACGTCATCCCGTCGGCCTCCTAGAAGCTCGTCCTGGGAAGTAGAGGAACTTGCGAAAGATAGAAGGTTTGGGCACCAGCTCGGCCACGTCTTGATGTGGCCGGCGTGAGATGTATTGATATCGTGGTAGATGTTTACTGGCTTGTCCGAAGACAGCCTTTGCATCTGACGTGGTGCCGTCGCGAAGCTGCATGGCCCTCTTCCCGAACTCTGCTCTCCGTTGAGTCTCATCTCCAGCTAGTTTGATAGGCTCGTCGACGTCTGTCGCCTGCGTCTGGAGGGGAACTGGCTCGACGGCTGCACGTGTGTTTCTCGAGCCCCCCTTGGAATACCGCCGCGGCCGTGGCGTTGCCCATCTTCTGGTTGAGTGGTGTGCTCTCGGCGCCCCTGCCCATCCACCGAGGCTCGACGTCCAGCCACAGTCGGAGCGACGGCGCCATGAGAACCGACCGCCAAGACTCCTCCAGCTCCGTTGCTGCTGCCTTTGTAGTCCCAATCTCCTGCCCATGCTCCCCAAAGGTGTGGGTGCTGAGCGCCTTCGATTTCATTGCGCTTCCTGCTAGCATAACCAGGAAGGCCCGGAAATCTGGCCGCAGCCGCACTGTGCTGTCGCCAAAGCAAGGGCGCTGCAAAGGAGGACGAGCCCAGGCGCCCTTCTGAGCGTGGTCCATGGCGGAAATGCGGTGAAAGAAAAAGTGGCTTTGATGTTGTCGTCTCCTCGCGGGGGGGGAAACCTCAAACGCCACGTGACGGTGCAGAAGCAACTCTAGGGGAGCGGGTGGGACTGCTCCACTCCAGCCAACCCTTCTGAACCACAGTTGCCTGTGACCAGGTTGGGAAGGAGAGGAGGGGAGGAGGAGAGGGAGGAGACGGAGGCGGCGGGGGATTACCAAGCTGGCTATAGGCTCACAAGGTACCTGAACCCATCTTCAAGGGTGAAGCGGTCATCGGCGGAACATACTGCAGACTGACGGGACACTAATGGAACCAAAAAGAAGAACATGAAAGGGGAGAGAGTCTTCCGTGTAGGAATCGGTCCGACCCGATGGAAGAGGGGCACGGAAGTATACACAAGGAAAAACGGCACCGCCACCAGCGCAAGGAGCCATGGGGGAGGGTCATCCAGGTGGTGTGGGAGGGAAAAGAGAAATACTAGGGGCAGCGATTCGGGTGGACTGGCATGGGGGGAACATCGACTTGGAATCGGCGATGCATCGCTGATTGACCGGCGATAAGCTCCAAATTGTGAATCCGCTCGTTCCTGGGCAGGTTGGTACTATCGGGCCGAAGCGGGGTCGATGCGTCCCCCACTATGCCTAATTAACCATCCCCCCATATCGGTACCTGAACGGAGGAGGAGGAGGAGGAGGTGTAGGACGAGCGCCTTGGCGGTCGCGCCGTCGCCAGCCTTGTTCGCGGCCACGTCCTCCCAGTGCGGCCAAAGAACACACACACACAGACACACACACACACACACACACACACGCACGCACGCACGCACACGCCGCACACGCACACGCACACGCACACGCACACGCACACGCACACGCGCACGCACACGCACACGCACACACACACACACACGCACGCACGCACGCACGCACGCACAGACGAACGCGCACACGCACGCACGCACAAACACACGCACGCACGGACGCAAGGCCGCACACACGCACGCACGGACGCAAGGTTGCACGCACGCAAGGTCGCACGCACGCACGCACGCACGCACGCACACACAACACACACACACACACACACACGCACGCACGCACGCACGCACGCACACACAACACACACACACACACACGCACGCACGCACGCACGCACGCACGCACGCACGCACGCACGCACACACACACACACACACACACACACACACACACACTCCCTTGGGTCCCAAGGCGCCAACCGCCGCTCTTCCCGCGCGCCGGCGTCCTCTCGCCGTGAGGCGAAGAAACAAAAAACGAGGAGAGGCTTTTGGTCGCATTGAAGGGGGCCCTGCCAGGCCCTGGGGCCGCCAAATATCAGGCGGGTGGTAGGGGGGGGGAACTCACCATCGCTCGGACGTCCATTCCCTGTGTTTTTTTCGGTTTCGTGCGTGTTTTTTTTTTCGCGAAATGATCAAGGATGCTCCTGTATTGTCCTCGCCGAGGGAAAAAAACAACACGTCCGAGCGATGACAAGGTAACTTACATGTGGGGCGGAGAAAAGGACCCGAAATGGGGACATTCAAGGCCTCTTGTGGCAGCTGGCTCCAGGAGGGGCCTCAACAGGCCCGTTGAAAACGATGTTCTTCATCCCGTAATGCAGGTCCATCGCCATCACCACCCGCCCAGAAGAAACACATGATCCCAGTGCGACCCTACCTAGGAATTGGAGCCTCTAGGAAAGCAACATTAGTAGGAGCAGTAAACGCCGTCCTCCTCCTTCTCCTCATCGTCGTAGTCGTCATGCAGGTCAGTCGCCATTACCACCCGCCCAGAAGAAACTAACAAAAACTGCTCTTCATAAAAGACGGACCCTGAAAACGGTCGAAACCTCTGGTGGGCCCCTTCTTGAGAGAATCACGGCGTCGGGTGGCGGTAATGGCTCCCCCCCCCTGGCATCCAACAAGAACGCCCTCAAACTGTGGAAAAATCGGGACACGAAATCCGGTAGGCCGGGGAGCATAAACCGGCAAGGACCGATCACAACGATGTTCAACACGAAATGGCGTTTACAACGAGGAATGGAACGACGTCCCATGTTTGAGAATAACGCTTAAAACGACGCTGGCTTCAAACAAAGCGAACAACCCATCGATTCGTTTATACCTATATATATATATGTGTATGTATATATATATACATACATAATAATAAACAAAACAAACGCGAAACATTGATGACATAGAAACAGCACATGAAGCGAACAACATAACCAAACAAAAAGCAAAGCAGCGTTGTGGTCGGTCCCCAAGGAGAAACCTTGTGGGTTCGGGGTGATGAGCGGGTCCTGGGGAAGTGGTCCAGACCTCTAGGGTACTCCAGATTTCGTAATAAAAGGGAGGGGGTCTGGACCCTCCGAGACAAGCCATTTCAGACCTCCCCCGTGGGAGAACCCTCCAAAACATCGTCCCCAGACCCCCCCAGGCCCTCCAAGATAGCCTGGAAGAGACCCCCCTCCCTTTAATACGAAATCTGGAGTACACATTGTGAGCAAAAACGGCACGACGTCGGGACTCGGGGCCCCGCCCTCAGCCTCAACTCGCTTGAGACGTCCTCAAATATGGAGGGCCCCAAGGACACAAATAAATACACACAAATAAAACGATCCCCCATTCTTCCCCATATTTTCTGGGTGTTTGTCTCCCCCCCCCCCACTTCCCATATTTTCACATATTTCCCGGGGGAATCGAGGATTAATTGTGTCTGTGTGTTTCTTTTCCTCCTGCAAATATCACGGCCAGAAGGTTACAGCTGCATGGGTTGTAGGGCGGCTCCTCTTCAACACAGGGATCTCGCGTGAGACCTCTTCGCCCTTACCGACCGAACTTGGGCAAGAATTGCACTCCTGGGGTGGCGGCTGCTTTTTTCACAAATGGCGCTTTTACTTGATACTCAGCTAGACGGTGAACTGCACGTCATTTCCTTGAAGCATAAATAGAACTATTCAAGGCGATTCCTTGTTAAACCGCGTCTCCCGTCTGAATTTCACGCCAATCGGGCGCTCGGCATCCAAAGGGAGCAATCCCTGTAGTTGAAAGGGAGGCTGGTGAGGGCTAATGAGGAGACTTGGGGCTGGAGGGTGACTTGCAGCGCCCTTGTTGCATCTTGCGATTTCTCCGACGTCCTTCATTATCCGCACATGTGCTGCCACTCCTCCCCAACCTCCATCATCCCCACCATGCCCCTTCACACTTGCCCACGAATTCCCCTACCCCCCTCTCCCGCCTCCTTATTTTTCTTCTCTATCGCGTCCTCCCTCTCCTCCCCGATCCTCCTGGCCGTGTCGCGGTCAGGTGTGCGACCCTGGTCAGCCATACTCCTGGTAGTGAGCCTGTCTAGAGGCAGATGCGCCCATCTCTGTTGATCTCGTGTTTCCCAGCTCGACGCTCAGCGTGACAGCGGCACCTCAACAAACGAGAACTCATTTCCGCCTATCAGCGACACCTCAACAAGCGAACACTTCTTTCTGCGAGCTCTCCTTCCCCACCTCGTCATCATCCACCTGCTCCTCCTCGGCCTTGTTATCCTCCACCTCCACCTCATGCTCATACTCACCCCTATCCCCTTCTTCCTCGTCCTCCTAATACTGCCCACCTTGATGAATCCAACACTCTCCACTTAATTGTCCTCCTCCTCCTCCTCCTCCTCTCCCCTTCCTCCCCCTTTTCGATCCCTGACTGCGACTCATCATGCGATTTGCCCACGTTGTCTTATTCTTGGTCGTCGTCCTCCTCCTCGTCCTCGTCCTCGTCCTCGTCCCTCCCACCTCTTCCTGGCGTCATCCTACCCTGCCCACCTCATCTCCCTGCCCCCCCTCCGCCTCCCCATGCGGCCACCCTCCAGCACCGTCCCTGCCAAGACATCCCTGGCATGTTATGATGATATGTCTGCCGCCTTCGACAGGGACATGTGCCAAGGACATGTGCTCCTTGGCAAGGCCACATGGAGATACACACCCAACGAATGGATGTTGTGGAGGACGACGCGAGCGGCGTAAACATGAACCTGCGGAGGCCCGTGCGGATTTCAAGATACGCGCTGACCCCACTCCCTGGCGCGACGAGCGCGTCAGCGGCGGCGCCGGCGGCGCCTCCAGGGAGTCTCAGCGCACGTCGAAGAAATCAGCGCGGAGCTCGTGTCAGAATCACTCAGCGCATGCAGTTAGAATTACTCTCCCTCTTCGAGTTTATGGGTGGAGGGCCCGTATGATGAGAGGGTAAAGTCGTCTTGCTCCTCGTGGCACATCTGCTGGGGCGTTCGTTCCCAATCGTCCCGTCCTCTGGCGTCCCGCTGGCCTTGGGCTTGTTCTTGGCGAGCTGGACGATCTGCTGCGTCCCGTCGTGGAACACCTCCCCCCTTCCCCTCCCTCGCCCCCTCCTCCCCCAGCCAAGAACACCTGCACGAGCAGAAACATCAACTTTCGGAGCCCGCCCGGATTTCTTCTGTCGGCGCTTGCCCCCCTCCCCTGGCGCGCGGAGAGCGCCAGGGAAGGCGCCAGAGGCGCAGACAAGGGGTCCAACCCTGATCACAGGAATCTGCGCGGATCTCCTCAAGTGTAGGTTCATGCGGTCCCCTAACCACCTTGTCTGTAAGGGCTCTATTTGACTTCTCACTAGATTCATCTTCGCGCGCGCTCGAATTATAGTTGCCCTGGGACCACCTTGGCGCCGAAGGCGGGGCGCTTGGGTGGTCTCTTTTGGGCCCCCGGGAGGCGCTTTCGGACCGACTGGGGCGCCTTTTGGGCCGTGGCGGGACCATCCTGGGCTTCTGGGGCCCTCTCATCCCCCTCCTCCTCCTCGTTCTCCTCCTCGTTCTCCTCCTCCTCCTCCTCCTCCACCTCCTCCTCCTCCTCCTCCTCCTCCTCCTCCTCTTTCTCTTTCTCCTCCTCCTCCTCCTCCTCCTCCTCCGTCTCCTCCTCCTCCTCCTCCTCCTCCTCCTCCTCCTCCTCCTCCTCCTCCTCCTCCTCCTCCTCCTCCCCCCTCCTCGTCATCCTTGGGGGGCTCTTCGGCGGCCCTGGGGCACCCTCAGGGGGCCTCTCAGAGCCGCCTGGGACGCTCGTGGGGCAACAGACTGTGAGTATATAGAAACAGCAGGGGCACGGGGCCGAACGGTTATTTATTGTCCCTGGGTACGTGGCTGAAGTGGGGATCCGTGGTGAAGATTATGCTTGTTGCGTTGCTGTTGTTGTTGGTGGTGGTGTTGTTGTTATTGTTGTTGTTGAATACCCATTTCCAAATAATGATTGCTGATCTCCGGAAACGGTTCCGCGCGCTCTCGCCTCGACGCCGGCCGGCTACATTTTCTCTGAAAACGAGGCTGCCGCTCGAGCGTTGGCTTGAGCCTAAATGTTGGCCCTTGGAGGCCCAGCTACGACAAAAACGGCTCCCGCTCGACACCTCCTCACAATTTACCCCGAGACCCCCTGGCCAGAGAGGCCCCCGAACTCAGGAACGGCGCTCTCGCTCGAAATTCCCTCGCAATTCAATTAAGTTGGTGGAGGTCGAGCCACGACGACAAGAGCTCCTGATCGATACTTCCTCACGATTTACTCCGAGAACCCCTGACCAAGAAGGCCCCCGAACTCATAAATGGCGCTCTCGCTCGAGACCCTCCCGTAATTCAGGCAAGTTGGTGGAGGCCCGGACACGGCGACAAGGGCTCCCGTTCGATGTTTCTCCACAAGTATTCCGAGAGGCCCTGGCCAGAGAGGCCGCCGAACTCAGGAACGGCGCCCTCGCTCGAGATTGCTTCGCACTTCAGTCAGTGGCCGACAAGGAAGAGATTCCCCCCGAAAAGGGGTGAAATAGAAGACGAAATGGGCAATGGGCACGGGTATCGATGGTTGGGGTATACGAAATGCAAGACACGCGTGCCAGTTAGAGCGAACAGTCTTAAACTGTTTGTTGTTGTTGCCGTCGTCGTCGTCGTCGTCGTCGTTGTTGCTGTTTTTGTTGTTGTTATTGTTGTTGTTGTTGTTGTTGTCGTCGTTCCACCCGCGACCCACCAGCGACCCACCCCGCGACCCACCCCGCGACCCAACCGCGACCCACCCCGCGATCCAACCCGCGACCCAACCCGCGACCCACCCGCGACCCACCCACCGACCCACACGCGACCCACACGCGACCCAACCGCCACCCACCCCGCGACCCACCCGCGACCCACACGCGACCCAACCGCCACCCACCCGCGACCCACCCGCGACCCACCCGCGACTCACGCCGCGACCCACCCGCGACCCACCCGCGACCCACCCGCGAGCCAACAGAGACCTACCCGCGACCCACCCCGCGACTCACCTGCGACCCATTTGCGACCTACCCACATTGGTTTAACGAGGAAATCGGCGACTGCGGCGGACTCGTTGTATTATGTGTGAAACTTGGGCGCCTGCGGCGGGCTTCTCCAAACACGCGCAAACTGCCGACGTCCCCACCGCTCCCTCACCCTTATCCGCATCTGCGGGGTGCTACGTGTATATATCCCTATACATACATACATATGCCAAACATACACGTGCTCCTGGAGGAATGGGACGACTTTGCCGCTCAGGGCTCGTGAGAGGGTTTTCTTGGAGCGGTCTTGGGGCGTCTTCTTGGGGGCCTCTTGGGCCGTCTTGATGCCATCTTGGGCTGTCCTGGAGCAATCTGGAAACCATCTGGTACGTCTGCAGTTTCTACCGTGGGTCCGTGGGTCCCCGGGGCTTCGAGGAAGGTTCCGGGGAGGCTCCGGGAACGTCCAGGGGAGGCTCGCGAAAGAGAGGGGGCACTTCACGAATCATGGGTGCCCCTGGTAGTCTCTGGCCCAAGGCCCCACGGGGCCAGGTTTCCAATCTATGAGAGAACCACCCAGCCGGCCATCGCTCGGACGTCCATTCCCTGTTTTCCTTTCTTTCTGTTCCGTGCGTGGCTCTTTGGCCAGGTGGTCCAGGATGCTCCTCGAGGATCCTCGCCGGAAAAACAATGCACACGTCCGGGCGATGCAAGGACCCAGCGAGGAGGAAAAGGAGGAGGAGGAAGAGGAGAAGGAGGAGGAGGAAAAGGAGGAGGAAGGGAAGGAGGAAAGGAGGAGGAGGAGAAACAGGAGGAGGGGAGGAAAAGGAAGGGGAGGAGGAGGAGGAGGAGAAGGATATCGAGGAGGAGGAGGAGGAGGAGGAGGAGGACGAGGATATCGAGGAGGAGGAGGAGATGAGGAGGAGGGAGGAGGAGGAGGGAGGAGGAGGAGGAGGAGGAGGGGAAGGAGGAGGGAGGAGGAGGAGGAGGGGGAGGGAGGGGGAGGAGGAGGAGGAGGAGGAGGAGGAGGAGAGAGGAGGGGGGGAGGAGGGGGGGAGGGAGGGGAGGAGGAGGAGGAGGAGGAGGAGGAGGAGGGAGGGAGGGCCGCTGGGACACCGAAATCGATGGCCCGCCTTGGCCCCCGCCCGTCGTGCCCCCCAGGCGTGCACCGTGCAGATCCGTGCAGCGTCTCCTGCCGCAGGGGTGCCCTTCTGTTCTTCTTGGGCCACTCCTCCTCCTCCTCCTCCTCCTCCTTTGCCTCCTCCTCCTTCTCCTCCTCCTCCTCATCCTTCTCCTCCTCCTCCTCCTCCTCCTTTGCCTTCTCCTCCTCCTCCTCCCCCACAATTACTCAGTATGAATACTACTCTCCCTCTTCCTCTGATGACGGCCTGGGAGTGTCCGACCCCCCCCCGCGTACTGTTTTTTTACACACAGGTTTTCCCAGAGTTGGGTTTTCGCCTGCATTTTTTTTCGAAATGCTGCTCTCGCTGAGGCGCCGGCCTCATTTTCGGGCCCCGCTCGTTCCGAATCGTGCTCCCGCCGCAGCGCTGGCCTCATTTCCGTGCTTCCGCTCGTTCCGAATCGTGCTCCCGCTGCAGCGGTGGCCTCATTTCCGCGCTTCCGCTCGTTTCGACTCCTGCTTCCGCTGCAGCGCTGGCGTCATTTCCCGTGCCATGCCACGGCATGCACTGCAATGCTAGGTTGATACTACGCTTTGCGGTGCTCTTCTACGCCATGCCATGCCATGCTGTACAATGCATCGCGTACCAATCATTGCCCTGCTCGACATCCGACTGAGCGAGTAGAGGAGGGATGGGAGGGAGGGGTAGGATGTCAGATATGACGCGAGCGCACCTAGCTTGTCCTCATCCCCCTCCTCCTCATCCACCTCCTCCTCCTCCTCCTTTTCCTCCTCCTTCCCCACACCCTTCTCCTCCTCCTCCTCCTCCTCCTCCTCCTCCTCCTCCTCCTTCCCCACACCCTTTTCTTCCTCCTCCTCCTCCTCCTCATCCCCATCTCCCTCCTCCTTCCCCACACCCTTCTCCTCGATCCTCCTGCTTCTGCTCTGGGGCCTCCACTTTGTTGGGCCACTTCTGCAGGAAGCTCACCGCGTCCCTCTCTCCCGCCTGCTGGGGGTTGAAGGGCAGCTTCCACTGCTGCTTGAACTCATCCTTAGAAGCAGAAAGTCAGCGGGTGGGCGGTGCCCCCAGACTCCAGACCCCCTCGAATCATGAAACCTTCACGACGGGCTGTTTTCTCGCTATTTTTCTGCGCACGGGGGGTCGAAGGATCGCGCCGCATCGCCGATGCATCGGCGATGCGTCGGCGATGCATCGGGGATGCATCTGCGATGCACCAGCGATGCACCAGCGATGCATCGTCGACGTCGGCGATGCATCGGCGACGTGAACGATGCACATCGAGCCGCATCGGCGATGCATCGGCGATGCGGCGCGACTCGCCGACCCCATCTACTCCAACTCCATCTAGGAGACCTGGAGAGACTGGGCGGCGAAAGGGGCATTCCTCCCCTGACCTCTCCAAGGAGGCGCCCCGACCAGAATTACAGGACGGACCCAGCGATGGGGACAATAGGAAAAGAAACAATTGAATAAACATAAACTTTCGACGATGGCTGGCGCGCGGAGCGCGCCAAGGGCGGCGCCGGAAGCACCGCTGGGCCCCCCCAGCGCGGATCCAAGCAATCCGCGCGGAGCGCCAACAGCTTATGTTTACAGCGTTTTTTATTCTTCGAAGGGATGCGCCCCAACCAGAATTCCAGGGAGGATCCAGCGATGGCGACAAGGGGGTGGAGGTATCGATAGCAATACATGTTTCTTTCTCTTGACAACCTGCCACCTGGTTTTCGTCAGGGTGTACCGTTAGGTCGAGCATGTCCTCCCACAGGCGGATTTTTGAAGGTAGAAAATTCAAAACAAGTAGAAAACAAATCAGAAACATCGTGCCCTGGACTACTCTTTTCACTGTTCTTGGATTTCCCTCCTGTAGAGGGACACGCCCGACTTTCCCCTGCGATCCTCCAGCTGGCTGAGCGGCAGCGGGCCCTTGCCGGTCTTCACCCGGTTCTGCAGCACGCGGACGACCCCCTGCACGAGCATCTTCGCCAGCGTCTCCTCGTCGGAGCCCGTCCTCAGCGAGGGGGCCCGCGCGTCTGGGCAAGATTAGATGGAGACCAAAAAGCGCCATGAACACACAAACTTCTGGCGCTCCGCGCGGACTTCTTGGATCTGCGATGGCCCCCCCCTCCCTGGCGCGCGGACCGCGCCAGGGGCGGCGCCGCAGGCGCCGCCGGGTGTGCCCAGCGCGGATCCGAGAAATCCGCGCGGAGCGCCAACAATTCATTATTATATATATATATATATATATATATATATATCAAGCGCGTACCACTACTCGCAAAATAACTACTTGCAAATGGCTTGGATCCTCCGCGGGGAGGGAAGCTACGATATATTACATCGAGGCAAACAAATTCGACTCGGACCTTCGCGAGTGGGCACTCTGCGACCGCAGCCAACTCCTCGAAGGCCTTCGTGAGTACGCTTGGGGGGGGTACAAAGACCTCCTGGAGGGGCCAAGCCACTCGATCCTTGGCGTCGGAAGGCGCGTAAAGTAGATTGGGGTCTGGGACTCCAGAAATACCAGGATTAAGACAGGGAGGCAGAGTAACATCTCAGGATTAAGAGCAAACTCTCAGGATCAAAAAAATAAATCTCAGGATTGAAAGATAGGGGTACGCCAGAGAGGCAGCGTTTTGCTGGGATTGTGTGCGGTGGGCAGGCTGTGGAGCACGGATAGTGCTGGCGCCGATGCTGGAGCAAAACCCATCGAGAGCGGCATCCTGAAAGAAGGGTGCCTCCCTTGGAATACTCCAGATGTCGTAATTAAGGGAGGGGGGGTCTCATTTCGGGGGGGGTCTCTTCCAGGCTATCCTGGAGGGCCTGGGGGGGTCTGGGGACGATGTTTTGGAGGGTTCTCCCACGGGGGAGGTCTGAAGTGGCTTGTCTTGGAGGGTCCAGACCCCCTCCCTTTTATTACGAAATCTGGAGAACCATTCGGGGAGACGTAAGACTCGGGTACGGGGGACTCGGGTTGACCTGACGGGGCCGTCATGAGCATGACGAGACCCCATCTGAAACTTGACGCGGACTCCCGCTGCAAACATCCCAAAAAAACCAGACCGTCGAATTCCAGGACGTGCTCGTCAAGAAACGTCGGCAAACCGAAGCTCCGGCTTTCTCGAGTTTTACAATTCCCCGAACCATGTGGAACCTGCTGTAGACCAGAGACAAAGCGCAAGCGGATCTACATGTTTTTGTCCGACCTCGTACTGCGCCGAGCGCAACAGCCGCGCTGGTTATAGATAAGGGGGACGGGGAAGGGGCATCCCCCTGACCGCAAATCGGCGGGGGGGGCGACACAGAAACCCCCACCGATTCGAACCGTGGGGGGGGACCCCCTCCGCCTGGAAACTGGGAGGGGAGAAGGGGGGGACAAGAACCCCCACCCACTCCGTGTTCGACATGGGGAGGTGGGGTCCAGACTTCCCCCTCCCCGCTTCGACGCCCTAGATTCGAAGCGACGTTAAAGTTTTGTTGGAGCTTTGTTGGGGTTTGTCGGAGCTGTTTTGCAAATGTTCTGTTTAAAACGTTGTTAGAGTTTTGGTTGAGCTTGGTTAAAGTTTTCGTTAACCTCTTTTCTTTGAGCTATGTTAGATCGTTGTTGGACTTTGTCCGGGCTTTGTTGGAGCCTTGTTGGCAATTCGTTTAAGATGTGAGTGAATCTTGTTTGTTTTGCTTGAATGTTGTTGCGCTTTGTTGGAGCGTTGTTGGAGTGTTGATGGAGCCTTGCTTGTAGGTTATTTGAAATGTGTTTGATATGGTTTGAACTTTGGAGGGGGTTGATTCAACTTTGGTTGACATTCGTTTGAGCTTGATGTGAGCTTTGGCGAGACCTTTTGTGTGAGCTTTGTGAGCATGACTAGACCTGTATACTAGTTTTGTTTGATAATGTTTGAACTGTGTGCTGGGTTATGTGTGACCTACGATTATGTTTGCGCTTTGATCGAACTTTGTTTAGGACGGAAAAAAACATATATTGACACAGCGTGCTATTGAGACGTTCCAGAGATTCCGGGATTTCTAACAGGCCTTTGCGCGGGGTATACTTTGCGTCGAGCATTGTTTACTCTGGCTGCGCGCCGCTGATCGGTCACCCGTTCGCGACCGGGTGGTCGCCCGCGAGGTGCTGTTTGGCAGTTGCTGACCCCCTTCTCGTTGCCAAGCGCGGGGGGGGCGGTGGCGCACCGTCCCATCGCCCGCCGCCGCACACCGCGCACCTCGGCGGATTTCCAGAAAGACCTGGCAAAACAAAACATGCGCGACTCTGGAAAATTCTCCGGGGGTAGAATTGAACAAATCCGGGAACATGTTTGAACGTGTCCGGCCTACTTTGTGTGAAAAAAAGAATAGTTGTTGAAAATGTTTGGGATACCTTGCGAACCAATTCGGAATCCATTATGAAAAATTCTGGATTTCAGATTTCTTCAGATGTCCTGCGCGGCGGGCGCATTCCACCCCTCAAAACTGTTTTGTTTTGGACATTTCTGGGCTCCTTTTTGAGAAATTCCGGAACCGCTTGCGGAAAAAAAAAAAAGAAAGAAGAAGCGTTGTCTGACACATTCTACAATCCAATTATCATGTCCGGGCGGTCCGACGGGCGCGGCCGGCTGATTCACGCGCCGCGCCGCGCGCGATTGGGCGCAGCGCGCGCCGCGCGTTGCGCCAGCGAGCAGCACTCGAAGGTCCTACCTCGAAAACAGCGCCACGGCAGCTGCGACTCGCGGACCCCCCAAGAGCAACACAGCATGCAGTTTGGAATCTTCGAGGGCGCTCCGATGCGCGAAAAATGCACCGCGAACATCACGCAAAGAACCTGCGCCACGGAATGCGCTCGACCATTCGTCCCTGGAGCCTGCGCGGAAGAACAGGAAAACCTGGAAATCTGGAAACCTATCAATATCAACACTTCATGCTCCTCTGATTGTTTGAACTTTGCCTGAGCTTTGGTTGAGCTCTGTTTGAGCTTTGGTTGAGCTTCGTTTAAGCTCGTTGTCCGATTCGTTCGACTTTAGTTTTTGGCTTTGGCTGACCTTTGCTGGAGCTTTGATTGGTGAGCGTTTTCTTATTCGGCGTATCGACATTGGGCGAAAGGGGGGGAGAGGGGGAAGGGGGGAGCTCTGGCTCCGGGCCTCTGTTTGCAGCAGTGCGTCCTGTGGGGGGGAGATCCCATCTGCCCGAAACGGGCGCCAAAGAACCCAAGATCTACTCCTTGGGGGGGGGAGGGGGGGGGGGTCGAGGGCCCGCGCCGACCGGCAGAACAATTACTAACAAAACTACCACTTGGAGCTTTGTTTCAGCTTTGCTCGAACTTTGTGTTTCAGATTCGTCTGAGCTTTGTGCGAGCTTTGATTGAGCTTTGCTTGAGCTGTGTTTGCGCTTTGATTGAGCTTTGTTTGAGCGTTGCTGCGTTGTTTGAGATTTATGTGTGCCTTTCTTGAGTTTTGCTGAAGCGTTGAAGCTTGGCTGGAATTCAGTTGCAGCCTGGGCTTTGCTTGAGACTTAAGAGCTTTGCTCGCGAACTCTGTTTGCGCGCAAACCCGGGTCAACGCGTGTCAATCCAAACCCGAGTCAGGGGATCTTCTGACCCGTGCAAATCCAAACCCGAGTCAGCCAAGCCTTGCAGAATTCTGCAATATCCTGCACCCAAACCCGGGTCAACACGAAGGATCCTGCAAGATCCTGCAGGATCCTGCACCCAAACCCGGGTCAATGCGACCCTGGCCCTGCAGGATCCTGCAAGATCAGGGCGTTCTGGATGACCTCCGTTTGCACTGACCCCCGTCTCGAGGCTCCCGAAACGAAGCGGGCGAGGCTGCCCGGCACAACGCCCAAAATTTGGCCATCCCGCCCTGGCCTGGTCAGGGTCGGATCCGGGCAGGGGGGAGGGCCGTCTCAGACCGCCCCCCCCCTCCTCCTCCTCCTCCTCCTCCTCGTCCTCCTCCTCCTCCTCCTCCTATTCCTCCTCCTCCTCCTCCTCCTCCTCTTGCTTTGCCTCCTCCTCCTCCTCACTCCTTGTCCTTTTCCTCCTCCTCCACCTCCTCCTCCTCATCCTCCTCCCTGGTCTCAATCAGAAGGTGATACGTTTCCTGAAGGGACGCCAGCGACAGGGACTTCCGAGACCGCGGCATTGCGTCTGAAATTTCGGAAGCCGCGAGCGAGAGCGTCGTGCGGCGACCTTGTGGGCGAAGCCGAGCGGACTTGGAGAAAGCGGCATCGCCCGTCTCAAGAGTCCCTTTCCATGGGGCTCCTTCTGGAACCACAGAGGCGAGGAGAAGAGTTCCCCCCACGCCCCCCGGGTCGAACCGAAGGTGGGGGTGTGGGGGAGGGTTATCCGCCCCCCTTCGGTTTACCCCTCCCGTTCGAACTGGAGGGGGGGGCCCTGTGGCAGCAAGCGGTCTTTCAAAAGAACTGGTCCACGCCCCCGAGCATCCGAGACGGCCGAGGCAAGCAACCAAGGCCGCCAGGGTGGCGCGAGATGCCTCCAAGAAGTTGCAAAATTGCCCCAGTCTGGCCTTAGATGGCCTCAAGACGACCCAAGAAGCTCTCAAGACGGCCCGAGGGGGCCATATTTTTGATCTTCCTCGGGGTCTGAAAAGTTTGGTGTCTGCACCTCCAGGGCTTCCTTTAGGTCCAGACGGCCCTGGAGGCCTCCAAGGTAGCCCCAAGACGGCCCAAGAGGTCCCCTGGACGGCCCAAGACTGCGCTGCAGGAGCCCAAGGAGAGGACGGGAAAAATGGAGGACGACGACAAAGACGAGAAACAAAAACATCGGACACGACGCGGGATGATGTGCATCACATGCTACGGCTCCCTCAAACCTCGGGACACGAGGTGTCACTCTTCCTCCTCACGTCGAGATCCCAAATCGAATCCCGCATCGTTGCCCCACATATTCGCAACGGGTTCCGTGTGCACCAAGCTCCCCGCCTCGAGCACCCCACTGCCGTCCGACAGTCGCGCGAAGTGCCTGGCTCAGGTGCCCGCGCGCTTGTTGGGGGCTGCGTTCGCAGGCAATCGCCCGCTAATTACGCCATCGTCGTCGACGTCGTCGTCCCCCTCCTCCTCATCGACCTCGGCTGGAGGCATCCCAAATCGACTACGACTGGACAGGGTCGTGGGATCGCATCGCCGATGCATCGCCGATGCATTAGCGATGCACCGGCGATGTCGGCGAGACAAGGCACCGACGACGTCGGCGTGGGGAACATCGACCCCCCCACATCGGGTCGTATGGTCTATGCATTTGCGATGGGGCGCTATCCTTCGACCCAATCTACTTGAAGAGGCCCTGGAACACACAAGTAAATACACACCAATAACAGGATTCCCGACATTCTCCCGTATTTGCTGGGTTGTTGCCTTCCCCCCCCCCACTTCCCACCTTTTCCCATATCTTTCGGGGACATGGGCGATTCATCAAGGGCTCCTAAGTTCGCGCTTCGCGCTGCGCGAAGCGCGAATAACTTCGCGCTCTCGCGCCGCCCCCCCAAAGGGAGAAAAGGAGGACGAGGAGGAGGGGGAGGAGGAAGGAGGACGGCGAAGCGCGAAGCGCGAATAACTTCGCGCCCTCCTGGGAGCCCTTGCTACTCGAACCCCCCTCGAGCGACAGAAGGAAAGCGTGCTGCCTGCGCGACGGCACGACCAGCCACCCTGCGCGGCGGCGCACGCGGGCCGCCGGCGCCACGCGATACGGCACGCTGGAAGCGAGGGCGCTCACACTCGACCTGTTGTTAAGCCGGGCCTGTCCCCTTACAGTGACTACCTACCAGACCACCCCAACCCAACCCGAAGACCCGAATTTCGGGTTGGGGGGGTAAGGGTTCCCCACGTGTTTTTTCGATGTGTCCCGACCCCCCCCCACTGGAAATCGAGGGTAAATCTGAGCCTTCGGGTTGGGTTGGGGTGGTTTGGTGTGTGGTGATACAGGGGGATTTCCAACGAAAAATACAACAATACCCCAAACATATTAAAACAAGAATGCAAACATAGTCTGGGGACGTTGGTGGGGAATATGTTTTGAACATTTGTGGTATTTTGGGGGTATTTTTATTTTTCGCCCAAAACCCCCCTGTAGGGGGACACGCCCGACTTAATCCTACTGCGCGGGCACCTCACGCGCGAATGTCCGCGCAGTCGAACCAACTCATCTGTGCCCCTGACGTGCATCTGCAAGACAAGGAGAAACCTAAGGGCAATCGAGGGGCCCATCTCGTGGAGCGTTCCGTCCCGGATCCGCTGTTCGGTCTCCGGGATCCGACAAAAGGCCCCGGAGACTGGAAAACTTCAGAAACATGCTCGAACCCATGGGTTCGAGCGGAAAGGAGAGTTCGAGGTGCTGCAGCACCTCGAACTCTCATTCCCGCTCGCCAGATTTTCTCGCCCTCCTCCCTGCCGCGCTCCTCTGCTTCTTCGCCTCGGGGTCGCCCCCGTCCGGCTGCCGCTTGTCCCCTACGGCGGCGGCCGGTGGCGCCGCCGCCTCTGTAGACGTGAATCAGAAGGCCCCTTGAGGGGAATACGACTGGACAAGCTGGGGCCCGTGAGCCTGTATTTCCTTCGTTCGTGCGACAACGCCCGTGACCAGCCCCACCACTCGGGGGCGCACAAACATGGATAGCGATCCATGGATTTGGCGCGCGGTCGCCAAATCCATGGATCGGGGGAAGTGCCCTCCCCAAAATGCGCCCGGTGCCGCCTCGTTCGGCGGCGGAAATCCGCGATTCCCTATGAAAACGGGAGCCGTCGCTAATCCACGCCCCCCCTTGATCCACGTTTGCGATCGCCTGAGCCAGCCCCTCCGCCGTCTCCCATCCCCCCTGGCCACGTCACGATTCGCGCCAGCGCCGTCTAGGAACTGGCCATCCCCAAAGAGAGTCTCGAGCATTCCCAAATGGGCGCCAGCGCGAATCGCATCGTGACTGGCCCCGGTCACGCCCGTTATCGCCAGTGGATGAAATAACGGTCTGCGGGAAACGTGAGGGCCACGAGAGTCTGGAAACGGCCAAAACTCTTCCGTCGCCACTCTTTCATCACGCGCAGAGTCGAATTTTCGGGCCATCACTCGGACCCCCGGCGGCCTTTCGGAACGATTTGGGCCGCCTCCCGGGGACGCTCTCGGCGAGGCGCAACTGCTGGGAGGCATACCGAGGCAGAAAAAGCGTCGGGTAATCCACAATAGCCCAATCAAAGGCAGCAGCGTGGAATAGGGATTCCCCGCTGCAATGTCCCGGCGGAGAACCGCGGGCCACGCGGGGGCTCATCGTCGGGCCCTCCGCCAGTGGCTCCTCCTTCTTTTCCTTGTCGTCCCCCGCCCCCTGCCCCCCCCCAGCCCATCCCCCTGCTGTTGCTCAGACTTCCTCATCGCCCTCGTCGTCGTCGTCGTCCTGGTCGTCGTCGTCGTCGTCGTCGTCGTCGTCGTCGTCGTCGTCGTCGTCGTCGTCGTCGTCGTCGTCGTCGTCGTCCCCCTCCTCCTCGGCATCCATTTCCACCCTCTCATTGTCCTCCTCCTCCTCCTCCTCCTCCTCCTCCTCCTCCTCCTCCTCCTCCGCCTCCTCCTCGGCATCCGTCTCCTCCTCCTCATTGTCCTCCTCCCCCTCCTCACCATCCTCCTCCTCCTCCCCCTCCACTTCCTTCCTCCTCGCCATCCTCGTCCTCGCACTGAGGCGCCTACGCGCCACCTTCCGCGGGCAGCTTACGCACAAGTGCACGCGCAATCGACCCCCTTGAAACCCTGCGGGTGCGCCCTCCCGCGGGCGCTTTGAAATGTGTCGCCCGATTGCGGTTGCGGTTGCGCCGTCCCGCGGGCGGGTTGAAATGTGTCGCCCAGTTGCGGTCGCGGTTGCGGTTGCGCCGTCCCGCGGGCGGGGTGAAATGTGTCGCCCGCTTGCGGTTGCGGTTGCGCCCGCGGGCGCTTTGAAATGTGTCGCCCGGTTGCGGTTGCGGTTGCGGTTGCGCGCTCCCGCGGGCGGGTTGAAATTTGTCGCCCGGTCGCGGTTGCGGTTGCGCCCGCGGGCGCTTTGAAATGTGTCGCCCGGTTGCGGTTGCGGTTGCGGTTGCGGTTGCGCCCCCGCGGGCGTTTGAAATGTGTCGCCGGGTTGCGGTTGCGGTTGCGCGCCCGCGGGCGTTTTGAAATGTGTCGCCGGGTTGCGGTTGCGGTTGCGCGCCCGCGGCGGGCGCTTTTTGAAATGTGTCGCCCGGTTGCGGTTGCGGTTTGCGCGCTCCCGCGGGCGCTTTGAAATGTGTCGCCCGGTTGCGGTTGCGGTTGCGCGCTCCCGCGGGCGCTTTGAAATGTGTCGCCCGGTTGCGGTTGCGGTTGCGCGCTCCCGCGGGCGCTTTGAAATGTGTCGCCCGGTTGCGGTTGCGGTTGCGGTTGCGCGCTCCCGCGGGCGCTTTGAAATGTGTCGCCCGGTTGCGGTTGCGGTTGCGGTTGCGCGCCCCGCGGGCGCTTTGAAATGCGTCGCCCGGTTGCGGTTGCGGTTGCGCGCCCGCGGGCGCTTTGAAATGTGTCGCCCGGTTGCGGTTGCGGTTGCGGTTGCGCGCTCCCGCGGGCGCTTTTGAAATGTGTCGCCCGGTTGCGGTTGTTGGGTTGCGTTTGCGCGCCCGTGGGCGCTTTGAAATGTGTCGCCCGGTTGCGGTTGCGGTTGCGGTTGCGCGCTTCCCGCGGGCGTTTTGAAATGTGTCGCCCAGTTGCGGTTGCTGGGTTGCGGTTGCGCGCCCGCGGGCGCTTTGAAATGTGTCGCCCGGTTGCGGTTGCGGTTGCGGTTGCGCGCTCCCGCGGGCGCTTTGAAATGTGTCGCCCGGTTGCGGTTGCGGTTGCGCGCTCCCGCGGGCGCTTTGAAATGTGTCGCCCGGTTGCGGTTGCGGTTGCGGTTGCGCGCTCCCGCTGGCGCTTTGAAATGTGTCGCCCGGTTGCGGTTGCGATTGCGCACGCCGGGGGCTTTGAAATGTGTCGCCCGGTTGCGGTTGCGGTTGCGGTTGCGCGCTCCCGCGGGCGCTTTGAAATGTGTCGCCCGGTTGCGGTTGCGGTTGCGCGCCCGCGGGCGCTTTGAATGTGTCGCACGGTTTTGATGCGGTTGCGGTTGCGGGTGCGCCCTCCGCGGGCGGGTTGAAATTTGTCGCCTGGTCGCGAGTTGCGGTTGCTCCCGCGGGCGCTTTGGAGTGTGTCCCGGTGCGGTTGCCGGTGCGGTTGTTGCGCGCCCGCGTGCGCTTGGAAATGTGTCGTCCCGGTTTGCGGTTGCGGTTGCGCGGCCCGCGGCGCTTGAAATGTGTTCGCCCGGTTTGCGGTTGCGAGTTTTTGGTTGAGGTTTGCGCGCTCCGCGGGCGCTTTGAAATGTGTCGCCCGGTTGTGGTTGTGCGTTGCGCGCCCGCGGGCGCTTTGAAATGTTGTTGTTGCGGTTGCCGTTTGCGGTTGCGGTTGCGCGCCCGCGGGCGCTTTGAAATGTGTCGCCAATTGCGTTGCTTCGGTTGTTGCGCGCCCGCGGGCGCCTTGTGAAATGTGTCGCCCGGTTGCGGTTGCGGTTGCGGTTGCGCGCTCCCGCTGGCGCTTTGAAATGTGTCGCCCGGTTGCGGTTGCGGTTGCGCGCTCCCGCGGGCGCTTTGAAATGTGTCGCCCGGTTGCGGTTGCGGTTGCGGTTGCGCGCTCCCGCGGGCGCTTTGAAATGTGTCGCCCGGTTGCGGTTTGCGGTCGCGCGCTCCGCGGGCGCTTTGAAATGTGTCGCCCGGTTGCGGTTGCGGTTGCGCGCCCGCGGGCGCTTTGAAATGTGTCGCCCGGTTGCGGTTGCGGTTGCGCGCGCCGCGGGCGCTTTGAAATGTGTCGCCCGGTTGCGGTTGCGGTTGCGGTTGCGCGCTCCCGCGGGCGCTTTGAAATGTGTCGCCCGGTTGCGGTTGCGGTTGCGGTTGCGCGCCCGCGGGCGCTTTGAAATGTGTCGCCCGGTTGCGGTTGCGGTTGCGGTTGCGCGCTCCCGCGGGCGCTTTGAAATGTGTCGCCCGGTTGCGGTTGCGGTTGCGCGCCCGCGGGCGCTTTGAAATGTGTCGCCCGGTTGCGGTTGCGGTTGCGGTTGCGCGCTCCCGCTCGCCCGGTTGCGGTTGCGGTTGCGGTTGCGCGCTCCCGCGGGCGCTTTGAAATGTGTCGCCTGGTTGCGGTTGCGGTTGCGCGCCCGCGGGCGCTTTGAAATGTGTCGCCCGGTTGCGGTTGCGGTTGCGGTTGCGCGCTCGGCTTGCGTACCACCTTGCACGTGCTCTTTCGACGCTAATCAACACTAGCCGACGCTAAAGCGGCGCTATCTCATCGACTCCGAAACGCTAACCCACGCCAATTAAAGACAGAATTAGGAAGGTAATTGCACGAGGCTCCCATGATGTACTTCCGAGGGAAGCATAACGCGCGGTATGGCCCAGAGGGTAAAAAAAAACAGCCTCCACTTCCAGACCCGTAACGTCGACCCCCTTTCATAACTGCTTTTTCGTAACGTCGACCCCCCTCGGCCTCGACCCGGTCCTCAGGACCGGTCTCTCGGCCTGAATCGTTGCTTGTCGGTCCCGGAGCCTGGTGAGAGCCCCCATAGCGAAAAACCTCGTATATCGGAGGTTGGGGGGTGAGATCGCAGTGAAACGGAGACCCCCCACCGGGAAATCGGTTTCGGTTTCGTGTTCGTGTCGTGCGTGCCGGCGAGCCCAAGCTGCGCGTGATCCTCCTGAAGCTAGGCCAAAGTAGGAGCGAAAGTCCGTCCGCCCGTCCGCAGGTGGCCGGTTGAGCCGGGCGGTGTCCCGGGTGTCCCGGGTGTCAGTAGGAGCGAAAGTGCGTTGTGGCCGGGAGGTGTCCCAGTTGGGCCGGGCGGTGTCCCGGATGTCCCGGGCGTTCTGGCGCTAACGCATGTCGCTAATTTCATAATTCATGTTTGTCGGCGCCTGCGGCGGGCTTTCTTATCCAATCCAGCTTATCTTATCCAATCCATCTTGTCCAATCCAACCTATCTTATCTTATCCAACCCATCTTGTCCCATCTTATCTTATCCCACCCAATCCAATCCATCCAACCCAATACATCAATTCATTTGTTTCTGCGCCTGTGGCGGGCCAATCCAATTCATCTTATCTGATCCAATCCATCTTCTCGTGTCCCGTGGTGGCCCGTGTGTCGTGTGGTGGCCCGCCTTGTGAGATCGATAAGGAGATCGATAATGAGATCGATGTGGTGCCCCGAGGTGTCCCGTGGTGTCACGTTGAGTGAGACCGATACTGAGATCGGCAGGTGTCCCGAGGTGTCCCGTGGTGCCCCGCCTTGTGAGATCGATAGTGAGATCGATCGTGAGACCGATAGTGAGATCGACAAGTGTCCCTAGGTGTCCCGTGGTGTCCTATGGTGTGCCGCTGAGTGAGATCGGTAGAGAGACCGATAATGAGATCGAGAGGTGTCCCGCGTTGTCCCGTGGTGTCCCGTTGAATGAGATCGATAGTGAGATCGATACTGAGAACGACAAGTGTCCCGAAGTGTCCCGTGGTGTCCCGTGGTGGCCCGTGGTGTCCCGTGGTGTCCCGTGGAGCGAGATCGATAGTGAGATCGATCCTGAGATCGATGTGGTGCCCCGAGGTGTTCCGTGGTGTCACGTGGTCTCCCGTTGAATGTGATCGATAATGAGATCGATAATGAGATCGACAAGTGTCCCGTAGTGTCCCTTGGTGTCCCGTGGAGCGAGATCGATAGTGAGATCGATCCTGAGATCGATGTGGTGCCCCGAGGTTTCTCGTGGTGTCTCGTGGTGTCCCGCTGAGTGAGATCGATAATGAGATCGATAGTGAGATCGACAAACATTCCGAGGTGTCCCGTGGTGTTCCGTTGAGTGAGATCGATAGTGAGATCGATCGTGAGATCGATGTGTTGTCCCGATGTGTCCCGTGGTGTCCTATGGTGTCCCGCTGAGTGAGATTTATAGTGAGATCGATAGTGAGACACATATTGAGATCGACAGGTGTCCCGCGGTGTCCAGTGGTGTCCCGTGGTGTCCAGTTGAGCAGGATCGATAGTGAGATCGATAGTGAGATCGACAAATGTCTCGTGGGGTCCCGCTGAGTGAGATCGATAATGAGATCGATAGTGAGATCGACAAACATTCCGAGGTGTCCCGTGGTGTTCCGTTGAGTGAGATCGATAGTGAGATCGATCGTGAGATCGATGTGTTGTCCCGATGTGTCCCGTGGTGTCCTATGGTGTCCCGCTGAGTGAGATTTATAGTGAGATCGATAGTGAGACACATATTGAGATCGACAGGTGTCCCGCGGTGTCCAGTGGTGTCCCGTGGTGTCCAGTTGAGCAGGATCGATAGTGAGATCGATAGTGAGATCGACAAATGTCTCGTGGGGTCCCGTTGAGTGAGATCGATAGTGAGATCGATTGAGTTAGATGTTGGTCCCCCCCCTCTCCCCCCCCACAATCTCCTTATCACCCGAAGGGTGGTCGTATAGGTATATACCTATACGACCACGCTGCGGGTGATAAGGAGGTTCGGGGGGGAAAGGGGGCCAGCTATGGGCAACAGTGGTGATTATTGCGTTGCCGCTCGCTCTTGGAACCATCGATCCCACTATCCATCTCACTCGATCGATCTCACTATCGATCTCACTCGATCGATTTCACTGTCGATCTCACTCTGGATCTCGCTATGATCTCACTATCGGTCTTACTATCGATCCCACTATCGATCTCAATATCGATTTCGCCATCTGTCTCACTATCGTTTTCGCACCAACGGGACAGCAGGACACCGGCGGGACACCGGCGGGACACACCGGGCCACCGCTTGCCGGAGGGAGAATCATTTGGTCAGGCTGGGACCCAGCCACAAGCGGGACACCAGCGGGACACCCGGGGCCACCGCTTGCCGGAGGGAGAATCATTTGGTCCCGCCGCGCCTCAGCCACAGGAGACTTTCCTCTCGCCCGCCCACGCAGCTTCGCATCGCCCGCACGCACGGCACGCACGAACACGAAACCGAAACCGATTTCCCGGTGGGGGGCTCTCCGTTCCACTTCGATCTCACCCCCCAACCTCCGATACACATATATATATATATGTGTGTGTGTGTGTATGTGTGTATACATGTATGTATGCATGTATGTAGGTACATATGTATGTATGTATGTATGTATGCATGTCTGTCTGTCTGTCTGTCTGTCTGTATGTATGTATGTATGTGTGTATGTATGCATGCATGCATGCATGCATGCATGCATGTAGGTAGGTAGGTAGGTAGGTAGGTAGGTAGGTACGTAGGTAGGTAGGTAGGTAGGTAGGTAGGTAGGTATGCATGCATTTATTTATTCCTTATATATATATACGCACAACAAAAAAAACAGCAAAACAACACGCAAAGGAGTCTCCCCTGTGAGGGCCCGTCTGCTCCACGGGCGGGCCTTGGGCGCCTGCTCCGCCGCCGCCGGCGGGGCCGCCGCGGGCGCGGCCGCCTTGGGGGCGGCGAGGCCCGCCTTGGCCGCCCCGGCCTCGTGGGAGCAGGGCGGAAAAGAGATCATTCGGCGGTGGACAAACCTCCTTTTAGTAAACCTCCCCTTAGTGAAAACGGCCTGGGCCGAAATCGACGGACCTGGACCCGCAAAAATGACGGCCGCGACGCCCTCTCGCGAACCGAAAACGGCCAATTCCTTAATCGACGTGTCAGGGTAGGAGGTCTGTCCACCCCCGACGGGGCTCCCAAACCCAGAGATCCACCGCACGGAAAAACATCGAGGCGGAGGTTTCTCTCAATTCTCGGCCTCTAGAAAGGGCCCTCGCCGGGCCCCTGGGAGGGTCAAGAGACGGCTCAGGATGCAAAACGGGTTCCGGGGAAGGGCTTCAGACCTCTGGGGGTCGACATTGTGAAAAAATCAAGACGTCGGGGGTCTGGGAAGAAGGAGCCGAACTCCATACACCGACGCTTTTTCTGGCCTGGCACTGACATTCGCACAGGAAGGCGGATCGTGGTGTATGATACGGGATACTGGTGTATACATAATTCGCTGCTCCCCGGGAAGACGGGGGCACCAGGTATACACCACATCGCCCCGACGTCGTCCCAGACCCTCACAAAGTCCTGGGATTGATCAACAGCCCGCCACTGGTGATGGCCCTGTTTTCCACCACCACCACCATAAGTTGGAGGGGGGAAGGAGGTGGAGGACGAGGAGGAGGAGGACGAAGAGGAGGAGGAGGAGGTGGAGGAGGAGGACCCCCTCCCCCTCCAACTTACGGTGGTGGCGGTGGAAAAAAGGGCCATCCACTCGTAATGCATATGATCCACTCTCCGACCAGACCGTGCCGTGAGATACTGGCGTCTCGATCTTTCCGCGCCGGGCGCCTGCGCCAAGTTTCGGGATGGATCCGGGACTCTCACAGGTTCATCCGCCCCGAGGGATGGCGGCAAATGATGGCATCCACAGTCTGGGGCACTGGTCGCGGTCTTCCACGATGTCTCAACTGTTCCGAGCAGTCGGACTTCGGGGTGTGGTGACGGACCGCGCGGTGACCTCGAAGTCCCAACCAGGGCGTCCTCGCAGAACGACTGAAGGGGCCCTGGGACACACAAATAAGTAGACACAAATAACAGGATTCCCCATATCTTGGGGGTTTTCGTCTCCCCCCCCTTTCCATATTTTCCCATATTTTCGGGGGCATGGGCGATTCATCGTGTCTGTGTGTTTTGTTCCCTCCTTAACGACCTGCGTCCCCAAACTGGGCGGTGACCCCGAATCCCCACTGGCCCACCACGCGGTGTGGCTGCCATCCTGATGGCGGGCCCCCGAGACGGCAGCAGCTCGAGCTCGGCCCCTGCGCTCCTTTCCCCCGGGTGTAGCTGCGCACGCTCGCCGAGCTGCGTCCAGCCGTGGCCAGTCGGCGTTTTCTTCTTCGGCGTTTCGACACTGGGCGGAAAAGTCGGGGATGGACAGACCTCCCTTTAGTAAAACGGGGATGGAAAGGCGCTCTCTCGAGAACCGAAAACGGACAATTCACTAATCGACGTGTCAGGGTAGGAGGTCTATCCACCTCCGAACAAGGGGGGGTAATCACACCACGAGAAGCCCGAACGACTCACACCAGGACGAAGAGCCCGAACGACTCACACCACGAAGAGCCCGAACGACTCACACCAGGAAGAAGGGCCCGAACGACTCACACCAGGACGAGAAACCCCAAACGACTCAAATCACGAGGAGCGCTTTCTCTCCCTCCTCCTCCGCCTCGTCCTTCTCCCGCTCCCCCCACAAGGAGGATGTACAAGGAGGCGGGAGGAAGGAGGAACAGGGGAGATATGCGGGGCCAAGCGGACACACGCCTGAAAAACACGACTGTCGGCATGCTTCGCAAGAGTTGCTGCTGTGAGATGGGCTGGTGGGGATACGCGAAGCGTAAAGAATTCACTAATCGACGTGTCAGGGTAGGAGGTCTATCCGCCTCCGAAAAAGGGGGGGTAATTAAGGGGGGGGGTCTGGCTCCGGACCTCTGCTTGATGCGACTGCTTGCAGCAGTGCGTCCTGTGGGGGAGAGACTCCACCTGCCTGAGCCAGGCGCCAGAAACAGCCCGCGTCGATCGGCAAAACAATGAATAAGAACCCGGCCCCGACATCCGACACTGCGAACAATGCAACATCGCCAGAAGTCACGACCGGAGCCCTCGACCCCCGCTTCGCCCGGCACTCTTCGAGCCTGATCAACATCCGATGGTCCCGTGCAGGACCCGAAGCTGGGGCGAAGACGCCCGGCGTGAGCAGAATACAGCGCCAGGACCTCATGATCCTGTCCTCGCCGGTTCCCTTCCGGAATCCCTGGAAGTCTCGACGCGCTCCGCGAGACCCTCTGGAGACCGACGTCGGAGGAAAAGCGCCGACGTGACGTCTTTCAAACCTTTGGCTCTCTGGCCGCCTCTGGCCTCGACTGGCCCTCCCCTCCTCCTCCTCCTACTCCTCCTCCTCCTCCTGCTCCTCCTCCTCCCCCTCCTCCTCCTCCTCCTCCTCCTCCTCCTCCTCCTCCTCCTCCTAATCTCCTCCTCCTACTCCTACTCCTACTCCTCCTCCCCCCCGGCCTTGGCCTTCGCCGCCGCGTTTTTCTTAATCAGCTCGCGCCGGTAGGCCGAGTCGGCCTCGAGCAGCTTCTGCCGGGTGGTGTCGGCCGCCTGCGTGGCCCGCACGCACAGCACCCCGGCCTGGCGAGGGGGGAGCCATCACATGGCAGGGCCCGGTTGCGAGACTCCAGGCTGGAGTATCTCGAGGCTCGACCTTTTAAAGGGGCCCTGGGACACACTAATAAATACACACAAACAATGGGATCCCCAATCTTTTACCGTATTTTCTCCCCCCCACTTCCCATATTTTCCAACATTTTCCTGGGCATCGACGACTCATTGTGTCTGTGCTTTTTCAGCCTCGAGATGCTCTCCTGCAGCTGCGCCGCGCCGAGAGGAGTTCAAAGGGGGTGTCCGGATCGCACCGAGCGGCCGCCAGGAGCCCGGGCTACGAGCCGAGAGCCACCAGGGAAGAGAGCTGCCGAGACCTCCAGCGCACTGCAGACAAGCTGGCCAAAGTGCTGCGCCGTGCTCGGCCTCTGGTGGCCCTCGCGGGACCCCGGGGTAGGCACAAAAGCAACGCACCCTCCTGTCCTGTTTCTTCACTGCTCCTAGGCGGCTTTGTCGGGCCGCCGGATCCTCGATCGAGCCTCGATGGATGGGCCGAGGAGCCGTGGGCCACCCAGGTCTGGACCGCGGCCGGATCTCACGCTTACGCCGCTGTTCGAGTGGGAGATCTACCACAGAATGGATGCATTCCAAATTAATTGTCTCGTCGAGTCTACAAGCAAAACGGCCCAGGATGGAAAGCAGGCCCTGGGGCGGGACTTCCTGGGAGGGCGCATCGGAGAACTCAGAACATCGCGTGTCTGGGGCTACGGCGACGGGTGGGCCAGCTCAAACGGGGGGAACTGTCGGGCTTCAGTCGGCGATGCGTCACCGACAGATCGGCGACGCGTCGCCCCTCGAGTGCGAATCCGCACGTGCATGTGCAGGCGAGGCTTTCGCCTTCCGCTATCGCGCACCCATCGGCAATGAGCGTGCGATTGTCGGTCGAGGCATCCCCCCGGTGAGCCCAGAAGTGGCCAGGTGAAGCTCGGCCAGGCGGAACTCGGCCAGCGGAACGCAGCCAGGCTGCACTCGGCCCAGGCCCAGGCCGAATTCAGCCTGGTCGAGTCCAACCTGGCCGAGGTCAGCCAGTCGAGCTCCGCCCAGACGAGCTCGCCTCGCCGAGTTCGGCCTGACCGGGCTGTTCCTGGCCCGGTTTCGATGCTCCCCTAGGAGGCCACGTGCGAGCCCTACCCCCAACACCCCACAATTTCTGAGGGGGGAGGTGGGGTTCACTCCCCCTCCCCCCTAGAAATTGCAGGGTGGAAGGGAAGGGCTCGCATGTGGCGTCCGATTCCTAGTGTTACCCCCCTGGCCTCGCTGGTGAAGAGGGTCACCATGTGCGGGATCCTCTTCAGCGTCGCGGCGAGGCCACCGTCGCCCACGACGAGGAAGCGCTCGATGATGAACTTGTGCCCCAGGTGCTTCGAGTACGCGTCCTTCAGCGAGTCCAGGGCCAGGGGAGCCGGCGTCGCCACCAGCACCTCTGGGCGGGCGGCATGAGCACACCGCCGTGGGGAACCCCATCGGCGTGCCACCGCTGAAGGAGCACCACACCCTCCGACGCAGAAACGAAGGAGCAGCACGCCGACAGGCTCTCAACGGCGGCGTGTCATTGACACTTGTGTGTGTGTGTGTAACGAGAAGGACGAGGAGAGTTGCCACGAGTCGCTGCTGGAGGGGCTGACCTGAGCAGCATGCCAAAGGGCGCCGAGGCGCTCCAGATCACCCGAGAGCATGACATTCCCAGGCCCCACCCCGAGTGCTTGAAACTGGTCCAAGCCCCTCACCAAGGGCCAGCCGATACCTCTCCGGCACTGCCTGGGGCCAGCTGCGACGACGAGACGAGGGAGGCCGAGGGCGAAGCGACGATATCCGGGGCGGAACACATGAATGCGAGGTTTCACCCGACCACCACCAACACACGTCCCGCCCGCGACACGTCGCGCGAGTTGCCCGGCGGTCCGCCCAGGGAAGCCAGCCGCGACCCCTTTCAATCTGTTGACGCGGCCGAAACTGGTATGGGAAGCATGGGTACGGGGCCCAACAAAACACGTTGACCACAGCCAACAGCCGACGCTCTTGGGCAGGCAACGTTTTGACTTAAAGGGGTCACCTCCGAATGCGACACAGACAGAGAGTTCTGTTCAAGATGGGCAACAGCTGCTGTTGGTCTTCGTCACCATTCCCCCCGTACTCCAGAAAACATCTGAAATAAGGAAGAGGTCTGAATTGTTTGAGCCGTCTTCGTAAATTCTGAGGTGTCTGGGGAAAAGGCCTCCCTTTTCATGGCTGATCTGGGGGGTGGTCTCTTGCCTGTCTGTGAGAGTTGTGATCCCCGCTGATACAAACACCCAGCGCGCCGATTTGCGAGTCGGGAACATATTCCATATCCACCGCCTACGGAAACGACGTCCTGGGACCCCAGCGGGTGATGGATATGAACATGTGTTAGTTCCTATGGGGCCTAAAGATACCTGTATCCACCGCCTCCCGAAATCCAGGAAGATCGGATTCCCAGGCGCTGGGTATGGCTAAATCCCAGCCTCGCGAAAATTGCCTGTCGAACGGGGTTGTGACCTTCCCTGTCATTTAACTGTATAAATCGGAATGCCGTCGATCCTCCAGGCTTTGGGTAGTCGAGCCATGAAGTGGGCCTCGGCCCAGCCATTCGGGGCGCTCGCAAAAGGGCTCTCGACGAAGCGCAGCAGCAATAAACGCCACATGGTGGAAAACGGAAACGAAACAGCCTTCGGAATACGCGACGCAGGACCATGACGGTGTTGCTGCTGCTGATGCTGAAGCTGACGCTGGCAAGGATGATGGCGATGACGACGATTGAAGGAAGATAGATCTTCTGGTGATGGTGGTGATGGTGGCGATGGTGTACCACCCAATGGATTTCTTCAAACACAGACAATGAATACATACGCGGAACACTCAGCTGGGAAGCCGGCTTATATCCCCAATGAATCCGATCACGCAACACCAACTCGGTTACCTTTTCCCCACCCCCGCCTCCTCCTCGATCGCGCCTGACTAATCTGCTTGCGCCTGACTAACCCATAAGGGTCTTTGGATACCCCCAGTAAAGGATAACTCATAATATGTTCGGCGACCGTATTCAAAGACTGGGGCCCACCCGATAGCGGAAACAGTAATTCATCCGCGGCACCCGCCGCACAACAACGACGACGACGCCGAGACGAAAGAGGAGAATGTGAGCAACGCTTTCTACAAAGAATGCTACGATGTATATCGCAATCCCCTTACCAGCATGCTCAAAACTCTGCTGTCGTGCAGGGTGGCCCAGGGAGCACAAATGCCTGGAGGAAAAAACCCAACACTACCCAGCCCGCCCAGCAACATAACAAAATGTGTCTCCGCCGCGAAGACAACGACGCTTACGACTACGACAAAGATTACAACAACGATTGCGACTAAACAACAACAGCGCTGACGGCTCCCATAGCTACAACCACGGATGCAATCACGACTACGACCGCAACCGGCGCTCTTTATTGCACTCTCCATGGGAAAGATGCTCAGGAACCCTCTCCCGTGCAGGGTTGGTAGTCCACAGTCGATTATTTTCCAGTCCAAGAGTATCCAGCCCGCCCAACCATAGAGGAAACAGAACCTCCGCCGCGGAGACGACAACGACGACGACAACTAGGATAACGACTATGCAGGACCTGCCGTCCTGCATCTCTCCGTCCTGCCCCTAATCGCAGGAAGTAGAAACAACAGTAGTCGTAGAATAGTAGCAGCCGTAGCAATAAAAGTAGAAGTGAAAATAATATTAATAGTACTAGTAGTGGTAGTCGCAGAAGTAGTAGTTGTGGTAGTTGTTGTTGTAGTAGTAGTAGTAGTAGTAGTAGTAGTAGTAGTAGTAGTAGTAGTAGTAGTAGTAGTAGTAGTAGTAGTAGTAGTAGTAGTAGTAGCAGTAGTAGTAGTAGTAGTAGTAGTCGTAGTAGTAGTAGTAGTAGTAGTAGTAGTAGTCGTAGTAGTAGTAGCAGTAGCAGTAGTGGTAGTAGTTATAATTATAGTAGTAGTAGTAGTAGTAGTAGTAGTAGTAGTAGTAGTAGTAGTACTGATAGTAGTAGTAGTGGTAGTAGTAGTGGCAGTAGTGGTAGCAATGATAGTAGTAGTCATCGTCGTCGTAATAGTAGCAGTAGTAGGAGTAGTCGTAATGGCAGTGTCAGTAGCACTAGTAGTAGTGGTAGTCGCGGTAGTGCTGGTAGTAGTAAAATTTACAGTCATGTGAATCCTATTAAAAGTAACTTGCACCAGTGGCAGTAGGTAGCGGTAGTAGTAGTAGTAGCCATAATGATTGTAGCAGTAGTCATAATAGTTGAAATCGTAGTCGTAATGGAGTGGTAGTGGAAGTAGCAGTGGTAGTAGAAGTGGTAGCAGTTGAAGTCGTAGTGGTAGTAGCCGTGGAAGTAGCAGTGGTAGTAGTCGTCGCCGAAGTGGGGGTAGTAGCGATAACCACAATAGTAATGGTAGTGGTAGTAGTAGTAATAGTATGAATAGTAGTGGTCGTAACGGTAATGGTAGTAGTCGTCGTAGTCGTATTCATTGTTGTCACAATCAAAGTCGTAATGCTAGTAGCACACATCGTAGCTGTAGTTGGTCCGTGGCGAGTAGTAGTAGTAGTGGTAGCAGCAGTAGTAGAAATACGAGCAGTAGCCGATGTAATCGTAGCAGTAGGGGTCGTAAGAATACGGTAAAAGTGGCAGTAGCCGTTCGAATAGCAGCGGTCGTAGTAGTAGTAGTAGTAGTAGTAGTAGTAGTAGTAGTAGTAGTAGTAGTAGTAGTAGTAGTAGTAGTAGCCGTAGAAGTGGTAGCAGACGTAGTAATTATCCTGGCGAAAGACCCAACCATAAGCAATTGTTGGTAACGCGTTGTGGGTGCCGCTTTCGGTGGGGCTCCATATGGGGCCACGAAGCGCTGCCTTGAATGGGGGAACCGCATGCGGACTGCGCCACCGGGGCGGGCCTTCGGTGGAGCTCCCTATGGGGCTACGAAACGCTGCCCTGGGTGGGGGAACCGCATGCGAACTGCGCCACTGGGGCCTTCGGTGGAGCTCCCTATGGTGCCACGAAACGCTGCCCTGGGTGGGGGAAGCGCATGCGAACTGCGCCACGGGGGCTTTCGGTGGAGCTCCCCATGGGGCCACGAAGCGCTGCCCTGGGTGGGGGAACCGCATGCGAACACCCCCACTGGGGCCTTCGGTGGAGCTCCCTATGGGGCTACGAAACGCTGCCCTGGGTGGGGGAACCGCATGCGAACACCCCCACTGGGGCCTTCGGTGGAGCTCCCTATGGGGCCACGAAACGCTGCCCTGGGTGGGGGAACCGCATGCGAACACCCCCACTGGGGCCTTCGGTGGAGCTCCCTATGGGGCCACGAAACGCTGCCCTGGGTGGGGGAACCGCATGCGAACACCCCCACTGGGGCCTTCGGTGGAGCTCCCTATGGGGCTACGAAACGCTGCCCTGGGTGGGGGAACCGCATGCGAACACCCCCACTGGGGCCTTCGGTGGAGCTCCCTATGGGGCCACGAAACGCTGCCCTGGGTGGGGGAACCGCATGCGAACACCCCCACTGGGGCCTTCGGTGGAGCTCCCTATGGGGCCACGAAACGCTGCCCTGGGTGGGGGAACCGCATGCGAACACCCCCACTGGGGCCTTCGGTGGAGCTCCCTATGGGGCTACGAAACGCTGCCCTGGGTGGGGGAACCGCATGCGAACACCCCCACTGGGGCCTTCGGTGGAGCTCCCTATGGGGCCACGAAACGCTGCCCTGGGTGGGGAACCGCATGCGAACACCCCCACTGGGGCCTTCGGTGGAGCTCCCTATGCTACGAGCGCTGCCCTGGGTGGGGGAACCGCATGCGAACACCCCCACTGGGGCCTTCGGTGGAGCTCCCTATGGGGCCACGAAACGCTGCCCTGGGTGGGGGAACCGCATGCGAACACCCCCACTGGGGCCTTCGGTGGAGCTCCCTATGGGGCCACGAAACGCTGCCCTGGGTGGGGGAACCGCATGCGAACACCCCCACTGGGGCCTTCGGTGGAGCTCCCTATGGGGCCACGAAACGCTGCCCTGGGTGGGGGAACCGCATGCGAACACCCCCACTGGGGCCTTCGGTGGAGCTCCCTATGGGGCCACGAAACGCTGCCCTGGGTGGGGGAACCGCATGCGAACACCCCCACTGGGGCCTTCGGTGGAGCTCCCTATGGGGCCACGAAACGCTGCCCTGGGTGGGGGAACCGCATGCGAACACCCCCACTGGGGCCTTCGGTGGAGCTCCCTATGGGGCTACGAAACGCTGCCCTGGGTGGGGGAACCGCATGCGAACACCCCCACTGGGGCCTTCGGTGGAGCTCCCTATGGGGCTACGAAACGCTGCCCTGGGTGGGGGAACCGCATGCGAACACCCCCACTGGGGCCTTCGGTGGAGCTCCCTATGGGGCTACGAAACGCTGCCCTGGGTGGGGGAACCGCATGCGAACACCCCCACTGGGGCCTTCGGTGGAGCTCCCTATGGGGCCACGAAACGCTGCCCTGGGTGGGGGAACCGCATGCCGCAACACCCCCACTGGGGCCTTCGGTGGAGCTCCCTATGGGGCCACGAAACGCTGCCCTGGGTGGGGGAACCGCATGCGAACACCCCCACTGGGGCCTTCGGTGGAGCTCCCTATGGGGCCACGAAACGCTGCCCTGGGTGGGGGAACCGCATGCGAACACCCCCACTGGGGCCTTCGGTGGAGCTCCCTATGGGGCTACGAAACGCGTGAGAGGGTGCCGAGAGCAGAGGCAAGGAGGGGGAGGAGGGAGGAGGAGAGGAAGGAGAGGAACGCGGGGCACCGTCTCTTCAAAACGAGGACCCAACACCACAGGATGGTTGGGAAAAAATAATGCGATTAGTAGGGGTGGAAGCAACCGTAATGCTAGTGGTAGTCGTTGTAGCAATAGGCGTTGTAATCGTACCAGTCGTCGTAATAGTAGTAGTCGTAGCCGTAGTACTAGTAGCCGTAGTCGACACAGTCATGATAAGGATAGCAATGATGGTAACCAAGAACAATGATGGTAACCAAGAACCACTGACATTAATAATAGTAGTTGTAGTAGCTGTAGCAATGGTCGTGATACGAGTAGACGGAACAATCATGGTAGCAGGCGTAATGGTAGCTTCTGTAACTGTCGTCAACGTCGAAGTAGCAGTCTGTAACTGTCGTCAACGTCGTCAACGTCCAACGACGCGCAATGAGAATAGTAGCTGTCGTAATAGCAGTAGTAATCGCAGCCGTCGTCGTGGAAGTAGTCGTGGCAGTAGCAATGGCAATCGTAATAGTAGTAGCGATTGGAATAGAAATGATAACACGACTCGCCGTGCAGTAATAGTAATGGTAGGGCTAAATGCAGTACTCGTCGGGGTAGCAATCAAACCAATAATACTCGTATCAGGCAGTAGGAGTACTAACAGCCGCAGAAGTAGTGGTACCAGTCGGGGTAATAGCAGTAGCGGCAGTAGTAGTAGTAGTAGTAGGAGTAGTAGTAGTAGTAGTAGTAGTAGTAGTAGTAGTAGCCGTCGTAGTAGAAGTAGTGGTCGTCGTCGCCGTATTAGTACAAGTTCTAGTAGTAATCATCGCAGTAGAAGTAATAAACTAGTTGTAGTCGTCGTGGCAGTAGTGGTAGCATCAGTAGTAGTAGTAGCGGCAGCAGCAGCAATGGTACCTGTAGTAGTAGTGGTAACAACACTTCTAGTCGTCGTAAGACTAATGGTCGTAATAAAAGCAGTATCCGTCAGTCGTAATAGTAATGATCGGAATAGCACTAGTAGTGGCTATAGTCGTAGTAGTAATAGCAGTAATACGTAGCGCCACGTGTAGTACGTAGTAATGCGCAGTCGTAGTCGTAGTAGTAGTAGTAGTAGTAGTAGTAGTAGTAGTAGTAGTAGTAGTAGTAGTATAGTAGTAGTAGTAGTAGTAGTAGGGGTAGTAGTAGAAGTAGTAGTAGTAGTAGTAGTAGTAGTAGTAGTAGGTAGTAGTAGTAGTAGTAGTAGTAGTAGTAGTAGTAGTAAAAGTAGTAGTCGTAGTCGTAGCCGTAGTCGTAGTAGTATTAACAGTAGTAGTAGTAGTAATAGTAATAGCAGCAGTAGTAATAGTAGTAGTAGTAGTAGTAGTAGTAGTAGTAGTAGTAGTAGTAGTAGTAGTAGTAGACGTCGTCGTCGTCGCGGTGGTAGCTGTAGTAATAACAGCAGTAGTATTAGTAGTAGCAGCAGCAGCAACATCAGCAGTAGTAGTAGTAGTAGTAGTAGAAGTAGTAGTACTAGTAGTAGCAGTGGTTCTCGTAAAAGTAATGACTTGAATTGTACGACGAGTTCAAAATTGAAGTCGAAGTAGAAATAGCAATACGAGTCGTAGTTGAACTAGCCGTAGTAGTCGTAGTAGAAGTAGTAGTCATAGTGGCGATAGGTAGACGTAGTAGTAGGTTTGGTAGCAGTAGTCGTAGCAGTAGCAGCAGCAGCAGTAGTAGAAGTAGTAGTAGTCGAAATAACAATCGGGGTAGTATATGTCGTAGCAGTAGTTGGAATCGTCGTAGTGATAGTAGACGTAGTAGTCGTTACAGGAGTAGTAGGAGTAGTCGTGGTAGTAGTAAGACGAGTAGTAGTAGTAGCAGTAGCAGAAGTAGCAGTAGTAATAGTAAGGGTAAGAGTAGGAGTAAACGTAGTAGTAGTAGTCGCAGCAGAAGCAGTAGTAGTAGTAGTAGTAGTAGTAGTAGTAATAGTCGTAGTAGTCGTAGTAGTCGTAGTAGTACTAATAATAGTAGTAGTAGGTGTAGCAGTAGTAGTAGCAGTAGTAGTAGTAGTGGTGGTGGTGGTAGTAGTAGTAGTAGTAGCAGTAGTAGTAGTAGTAGTAGTAGTAGTAGTAGTAGTAGTAGTAGTCGTAGTAGTAGTAGTAGTAGTAGTAGTTTTAGTAGTAGTAGTAGTAGTAGTAGTAGTAGTAGCAGTAGTAGTAGTAGTAGTAGTAGTAGTAGTAGTAATAGTAGTAGTAGTAGTACTAATAGTAGTAGTAGTAGTAGTAGTACCAGTCGTAATGGTACTACGAATATTACTATTAATAGTGGTAGTCGCAATAGTAGTCACAATAATAATAAAAAAACACTCGTGCTCGTAGTAGTGGCATTGTTGTTAGTAGTAATACTAAAAATAACGTTATTATGAGCAAGAGGAAAAGAACGAGGATGAGGAGGAAGATGAGGAGGAGGAGGAGAAGGGGGATGAGGATCAGAAGTAGGAGGAGAAGGAGCAGGAGGAAGAGGAGGGAACAGTTTTATTCACCGCCGAGAAAAACAGGGGCGGGCGGACAGTAGAACGCATGAAAGACTTGGAGGACATGTCAGGGAATCAAGGGGCGACGAACGGACGTTCCACAGGCCCGAGTGCGCTTCTCCTCCCGCCCTCTCACAATCGCCCCCCCCAGACCTCATGTGGAGCCTGGGGTCGAAGCGAGCCCTCCTCCTCTTCCAGTTCTCTCGCTCCTCAAACTAAATATGCGCTCAAAAAGGGTCCCCCGACCCCTCCCGGAATCCGTGTGTCTCGCCCGGCATCGGATGCTGAGGGCTGTGCCGAGCGAAGGACCATGCGCCTACACACCGAAGAGGGAGGAGGCGGGAGGAGCGACGGGAGAGGAGAGCTCAGACCCCAGGCGTCGGAGGGCTGCTTGACAGCGTGGCTCCTCGGAGGTACGGATCGGCTCCTCGGGGCCGAGCTCTCGTCCCGAGAAGCTGATCGACCGCGCTGGGGCCCGGGAAGGGCCCCATGGAGGCAGAAAAATCGAGAATCACCCCGTCAGGAATGTGACGCGACGCGACGGGTCTGGGCCTGATGGTGCTCGGGCCGCAAGTCGGGTTTCCGACAGCCATTCGAAACGAATCGGGCACCTCCAGAACGCTCCCAGCGAGTCGTGGCTGCTGGAAGGCACAATGGGGCGAGAACCCCTCGGAGGCCTAACACAAGGAAGCTCTATCAAAAAACTCTCAGGCCTGGCCAGCGAAGACTCCTGGAAAGCTTTAGGAGGGGCACCGAGTGGAGGTTCCACAGGAAGTCCTCGATGTTGGTCGGCGGCCTCGAGGGCGGCGGCCACGCGCAAGAGTTGGCGGCGCGCAGAGGGGTGTAGAGGGGAAGGGGGAAGCCTTCTTAGAATCACCCCTGCTGTTTGGAAGGCGCGGGCCTTGCCAGCAGATATAAGGCTGGCGCCTTCTAAGAACCAGCCTCCTCCTAAGAAGCCTTCCCCCCTCCCCCTACCCCCCCCCAGGAGGAGGAGGATCATGGATGGATGAGCATGAGGCGAGGGGTTGACGTGTAGGGGTCTTGGGGGTCATTCATTCCTCCTCTTCTTCATGATTCTCCCCGTCCTCGCATTCCTCGTCGTCATGATTATCCTCTTCTTTCCCTAGTCCTCCTTCTGCGCGTGGCCAAAACAGGTTGCCCTGTAGGCAAGAGGTGGCCTTTGCCGCGCGGCTTAACCAAAGAAGGACTCCCAATCTTAAGTCGGGCGTGTCCCCCTACAGGGGGATCTTCGACGAAAAATAACAAAACATTAAACATACAAAACTGGTCAACAACTATTTAAACAAATTGCCACCAGACCATGTTTTAACTATTTTTGAAGATTCCTCCTGTAGAGGGACGGGCCCGACTCAATCCTAATCTTTTGCGAGGGGACCTGAGTCAGGAGGGGCCAACAAGCACACTAGGGATAGGGGCTCCTTGCCCGCAGATGCATCGGGCTGCGCCGCCAGGATGTACGTATGATCCCTGATGCAGAGGCGGCGACCTCAGGGAGGCCACGTCTTCCCGGTGAGATTTGAACATTCCTCCTGTAGAGGGACATGTAAAGGGAAATTAGGACACACAAATAAATACACACAAATAAAATTAGTCCCCATATTTTCCCATATTTTCTGGGTTTCTGTCTTCCCCCCCATTTCCCATATTTTCCCATATTTTCCTGGGAATCGCCGATTAATTGTGTCTGTGTGTTTTTTCCCCTCCTGAATTTTGAACAGTCCTCCTGCAGAGGGACATGCCCGGCGTAACGACAACCGTCGGGGGAGGCACGGCGGTGGGGCGCAGCCGACACGGATCACAGGGGCGCGCGCTGGAGGATGCAAGGGCTCCCAACTTCGCGCTTCGCGCTCCGCGAAGCGCGAAGCGCGAATAACTTCGCGCTCTCGCGCCGCCCTCCCAAAGGGAGAATAGGAGGACGAGGAGGAGGAGGAGAAGGAAGGAGGACCGCGAAGCGCGAAGCGCGAATAACTTCGCGCCCTCGAGGGAGCCCTTGAGGATGCAAGGGCCCTCGGAGGCCGCTGCGAGGCTTTTTTCTCGGGTCGGGCGATAAGGGGGGGATAGCAAAGGGGGGGTTCGAGAATCAGCTCACGCAGCTGATTTTCCCGGAGCCGGAGGCGGCCACGTATCGAGGAATGGGCCCCTCGGAGAGGCCGAAGCCAGCTGCATGCAGCAAATTTCGGACCCCCCCCTTTCCCAATCCCCCCCTTTCGTCCGGCCCGATTTTCGAGCGGGCAGCGGCCAGCGAAGGTGAACAAAGGTGGGCTGAGGCAAGGATGCAAGGGTACCCTCGGGAACGTTGCCCATCCTTGCTATGCGGGTTGACTGTAGGGTGAGAAAGTCCAGGGCTGGTCTCCTTCCCAGACAACCGAAAAACTCCCGAAACCCTCCAGAAACCTTCCGGGAAGGGTTCCCAAAGGCTTTTCGGGGGGGGTGCGGAAGGGTTCTCGTCGGTTTGGAGGGGAACCAGTCCCTAGCGAACCCTGGGCTTTCTATTATAAGGGTAGGTGCCAAGGTGGGGTTGGAGGGAGAATCGCTCCGGACGGCACGTGAAGAAGGAAGCGCGTGAAAGAGGAGCATCTGGCTGGGCCCGCTCCACAACCTTCCCTTGGGATATAACCCTCTGCCTACGAACCCCCAAACCCGGGTCAGTCAGGCTTTCAAGGATCCTGCAGAATATCCTGAAAGATTCTGCATGATTCTGCACGCTATTCCCCAGGTCAATGCAGCCCTGCCTTGGCAGGATCTTGCAAGGCCCGGCGCTCTGGCTGAAACCCGTTTGCACTGACCCCCGTCCCTGAGCTCCCGACCAGCAGGCCCCGAGAGCAGCCTGGGGCAATCTTGAAGGGGCCCTGGGACCCACACATAAATACACACAAATAAAAAGATTCCCAATGTTTTCCCATATTTTCTGGGTTTCTGTCTTCCCCCCCGCTTCCCATATTTTCCCACTTTTTCCTTGGGGATCAACGATTAATTGTGTGTGTTTTTTCCCCTCCTGAATCTCAACACCCCAACCCTGGGGCTCGGAGCGCCCCCGGGGGCGCCGCTGGAGGCGACGCCGCGGCGCTGCCGAAGCCGGCCGGAACAACTTTTGGGGGGGCTGCCTGTGCGCCATCCGGAACCTCACCTCGGGGATGGACAGACCTCCCTCCAGCCCCCGGAAGTCACGACCCACCCCCCAGGACCGGCTCTTCACCCTATATGGGCCGTTCCGTAACGGTCCCGAGGCCCGGCGAGGGCCCCCGGAGGCCGCGAATGGCGCAGAGCCTCCCGCCCCCGATTCGTGTCATTCCTCGAGGGGGTCTGGGTCTCGCTCCCTTCGGGGATGGACAGACCTCCCTCCAGTAACGCGTGGTTCGGTGAAAAAGCGACCTCGGGCCCAAACCTGGCGGGCGCAAGCCTGGAAAGCAACGGCCGCGGCGCCCTCTCGAGAACCGAAAACGGACGATTCACTAATCGACGTGACAGGGTAGGAGGTCTGTCCACCCCCGAGAGTAGGAGGAGGAGGAGGAGGAGGAGGAGGAGGAGGAGGAGGAGGAGGAGGAGGAGGAGGAGGAGGAGCAGGAGCAGGAGGAGGAGGAGCAGAAGGAGGAGGAGGAGGAGGAGGAGGAGGAGGAGCAGCAGGAGGAGGAGCAGGGTAGGAGGTCTGTCCACCTCCGATGACCACCCCGAACGCTTCCCGTCGCATCTTCGGGGGACCTCGCCTGCCCGAAACAGGAGTGCCTTCGCTTGCGCCCGGCGCGGGCTCGATGCGGCCTCGGCGCGGCCTCGGCGTGGAGCCGACACGGATTCGACGGAGTCGGAGACGGATTCGACGTGGATGCGCACGGAGAAGCGCGCGACGGGACAGACAAGGTCCCCCAAAGATGCCACATGGTGGCCGGGGGGTCCGAACTGGACGGGCCCCGGAACAACTGGTCGAAAAAAGGGAGTAGACGACATCAATCCGCTCCAAACCGGTCCCCGCACCGCTCCCGGAGCCGATCTGGTGAAGCTTCTCACCCTGGATCGGTTTTGACGGCCCGATGCAGGGCTCCAGGGCACGAAGACGGCCCCCCGAGGCCGAGAGACGAACAACAACAAAACCGCCTGCTCGAGCGCCAGGCCCCGAACCCCGCCCCCGCCCTCCTTCCTGCTCGCCGGCACCAGTGCTGCGACACCTCACGCCCCCAGCCGGCGGTGAGGAGGAAGACGAGGAGGAGGCGAAGGAGGAGGAGTAAGAAAGAGGAGGAGGCGGAGGAGGAGGAGGCGAAGGAGGCAGAGGAGGCGGAGGAGGAGGAGGCGGAGGCGGAGGAGGAGGCGGAGGAGGAGGAAAAGGAGAAGGAAGAGGAGGAGGCGGAGGAAGAGGAGGAGGCGGAGGAGGAGGCGGAGGAGGAGGAAGAGGAGGAGGCGGAGGAGGCGGAGGAGGAGGCGGAGGCGGAGGAAGAGGAGGAGGCGGAGGAGGAGGAGGAGGCGGAGGAAGCGGATGAGGCGGAGGAGGCGGAGGAGGAGGTCGCCGGGGCAAAAAGGTTGCCGCGGCAGGAGGTCGCTCTCGCGAACAGCCGGCGGGCCTCGTCGGCTGCCCCTCGGCGGCCATCCGCGCACGCGCCGCCGGGGCTCGGCACGCGCGGAGGCCCGGCCCCCCGCTCCGCAGGCGCCGCTGCCGCGGCGCCCCCTGGGCGACGACGACCGACGAGCGACGCTACGAGGCCGATGTGGCATCACAGCAGCAATTCGGCCCCTGACTTTCGTCCTGGGTTCGGTTCAGTGAAGTGATGAATTTCGGGGTCCTTGCGTGGGAAAAAAACATCACTTCACTCATCTGGGGCCCCTGGGGCCTCAGTGGGCCCTGGGGCCCAAAATCAGTGAAATGATGGTTTTCGGGCCTCGGAGACGCGTCCCTCTCGGAGCGCAAAGTTTCTCCTTCGCGGCCCTACAGTGAAGGGCTCGACCACGGGAGGCCTTCCACGAGAGACCCGGCCCCCTGGGACCCCAGGGCGTCCGCCGATTTCTGGGGCGGTGGGGGGCGTCACGCTCTCCACAAGGAGGGGGGAAGCCATCGAGACCCAGGAAGCCAAGGGCACCCTGGAGGCAAGCAGGATAATTCTTATCATAGGCTTCCACTGCAACGGGCAGTTTTTTTTTTCTCCAATCCAGGACCAAGCCAAACTCGACTCCCACACGCGTGCGCAACAGGGCCGCCGCAAGGCGGTGGCGCAGCAGGATGCTTGCACGCCGGCGAACGCATCGGGCCTGCCGCGCGTATAGGGCAGTATAGGGGGGAGGGGACGGAAGGGGCCGTGGCGCCCCCCCCCCCCGACTGGTGCTGGACGCACTGCGGCGGTGCCGGGGACACTCTGAGAGGGGGAGCGTCACGTTTCTGTTGGGGGGGGAGAAGGGGGAGGAGGGCACGGGGCATCACGCGCGGTCTGTGCCCAGCCGTAGCGACGAGAGCCTCCAGATACGCACAGCAGCCTTCCCAACGAAGCCGCGCGCGGGGGTTGAGGAAACGTGCCGAGCTGTTTTTCGACGGCCCCGGGGCCTGGCAGGGGCCTCCGAAGGCCAACGTGGTTGTTTCACGACGCGAAGGCTTCAGCTTTCTGGCCATAGCTCGGGCTTTTCGGGTCGGGCGAAGGGGGGGGATAGCAAAGGGGGGTTTGAGAATCAGCTCGCGTAGCTGATTTTTCCGGCGCCTCCCGGCGCCGGAGGCGGCTATGTATCGAGAAATGGGCCCCTCGGTGAGGCCGAAACCAGCTGCATGCAGCAGATTTCGTACCCCCCCTTTCCCAATCCCCCCCTTTCGCCCGGCCCAAGCCTTCGGCGGCCGGTCGGGACGATTCGGGCACCCCCAGAAAGATCTCGCCGAGGCGCAGCTGCCGGGGAGCATCGCGAGGCTGAAGCCAAAAGGCCACCGGGAACCTCCGAGGAAACCCGCACACCTCGACCCTGGAAGGACGTCCGTGTTTGATCCCTCCCCGCGGGCACTTTCCAGGACGCGGAGATGCCACGGTCGACGTCGGTCGGCGTCCTAACTCTTGTCGGCTCGAGGGGAGTGGGCTTCTGACAAGGCGGGGGGGGGGCCTCTCAGAAGGCACGGGCCCTCTTCCGGAGAGAGGCCCGGCGTGGCGGCGTCGGGGGATGCCTCCTGGCAGCCAGAGGGGGCCTCGAAGGGACACGCCTCCTGCCTTCTCGCATGACACCCAGCTCTCAGAAGGCGGCCCCTGTGTGGGCTTCACCAACGACCTTGGTCGCCCAACGTTACGTCGGGCGCGTCCCCCATACAGGAGGATTTTCGCCGAACAATGCAGAAAATGCCCCAGACATAATAAAAAAAAGGCAGTCAAAAACAGTCGGGGGACTATCTTTTGAATATTGTTTGGCCATGTTGGGGAATCGACGAAAAGCCCCCTGTAGAGGGACACGCCCGACTGAAGCCCCACGTCGCGCAACGCGCGCACGCACCTCCGCGCCCCCGCGCCCGCCGCCCCGGGAGCCGGGATGCCTGCCCAGCTCGAACCGCAGGGCACAGAGCTCGACTCTATCAAAGCTCGACGTTTTTTGTTTTTCTCAAAAAAAAATAGCTCGAAACATATTCCAACATTGTGAAAATACACCAAAAAGAGTCCCCAGATTATTTTACTATTTTTGAATATTCCCCCTGTAGAAGGACAGGCCCGACTGAAGGGTTCCACGTTCTCTGCGCACGCTGGGGGGGGACTTTTAGTCAGCGGCCGCGGGCGAGCGCGCCAGCGGCGAGTCCAGTCAAAGCGGGGCACGCAACGACAAATTCACCTGAAGCAACGGAGGGCGGCCTCACGAAGCGGGGCCTCGCGAAGCACCTCAACGCTGGGGGGAGACTCGAAGAAGAACAAAAAACCGTGGACACACGCCTTTTGCGCTCCGGGCGGATCTCTTGGCTCTGCGCTGGACCGTCCTCCCTGGCGCGCGGAGCGCGCCAGGGGCGTTGCCAGAGGCGCGGGGGGGGGGGGGGCCTAGCGCGGATCCAAGAAGTCTGCGCGGAGCGCCGAAAGTTTATGTTTATGATTTTCATTTTCGAGAGGTTGTTGATTTACTTTTGTCCCCATAGTGGTCGGTACCCAGAGGGGGGGTCGGGGGGAGGGGGGGTGGGGCCCTGGGTAGCTGTGACGCATAGGGGGGTTCGGGCACGTCGGGGCGGGGGGGTGCGTTGCGATCGCCATGCTGAATTCGCACGAGCACCAGTAGGTTTGGGGGGTTGAGCCGCCCCCATCCCCACTCATACGATCGCTAAATGGGACGTCAAGACAAGGTAGCACTGGACATAGAAAAATTGGGGATCACTGGGAATCGGCGGTTGGTGAGGATTTGTCCGACGCCGTGGCCTTCCCACTCCACATCACCCGCCTCCTCCTCCTCCTCCTCCTCCTCCTCATCATCAGCATTACCATCATCCTCATCAGCATCATCATCACCATCATCACAATCACAATCACAATCACAATCATCATCATCATGATTCATCATCATCATCATCATCATCATCATCATCATCATCATCAGCATCAGCATCAGCATCAGCATCATCAGCATCAGCATCAGCATCAGCATCAGCATCAGCATCAGCATCAGCATCATCAGCATCAGCATCAGCATCATCATCTTTACCATCAGTATCTCATCATCATCCTCATCCTCAACATCATCATCTTGATCCTCATCCTCACCCTCATCCTCATCCTCATCCTCATCCTCTTCCTCCTCTTCCTCCTCCTCCTCCTCATCCTCCTCATCATCATCGTCATCATCGTCATGATCTTCTCCGTCATCATCATCACCACCACCATCACAATCATCTTCGTCATCATCATCACCGTAATCAGCATCATCATCATCAACATCGGCACCACCATTGTTAGAATCAGCATGATCATCACCCTCCCCCTCCTCCTCCTCATGATCACAACCGTCATCGTCATCGTCATCATCTGTCTCCTCATCGTCATCGTCATCGCCACCATCAACTTCACCACCACCACCACCAGTATCATCATAAGCATCATCAGCATCATCCTCAACATAATAATCATCATCCTCATCATCATGTCCATCATAATCAGTATCATCATAATCAGTATCATCCTCATCCTCATCTTCATCCTCATCCTCATCGTCCTCATCCTCCTCATCCTCATTGACATCATTGCCATCATCATAATTTGCATCAGCATCATCATCATCGTCATCATCATCACCATCATCATCACCATCATCGGAGCCCTCCTCCGCATCATCATCATCAGCATCACCATCATCACCATCGTCATCACCATCATTGTCATCATCATCATCCTCCTCCTCCTCCTCGTCATCCTAATCCTCATCCTCATCCTCACCTCCACCCTCCTCCTCCTCCTCCTCCTCCTCCTCCTCCTCCTTCGCCTCCGCCTCCTCCTCCCCTGGGCCGCGCTCTCGAACCCTCCCGCCCCTCGCTGGCCAGGCCCCGACGGCTTCCGAGTCTCGGGGCGACCTGGACGCTTGCTCGGCTCCCGCCGCGCCGCTGCCGAGGGCTCCCCGCGCCGCGCGGTACGGCGCAGCGCCCGGCGCGCCGGGCTGGCCGCCGCGATCGCGCAGGCGCCCGCGCAGGCGCCCGCCCGCGGGCGCAGCGCAGGGCGGCGGCGCGCCGCTGGAGCCGAGGGCGGCTGCCGAGCTGTCTTGGGACCCAGGCGCTGCGATTGCTCGAGGATCTAGGGACACACACACACACACACAGGTAGACAGACACACGTCCCAGGATTCCCCCTCGGTTCCCATGTCTTCTGGACTTTCGTCTCCCCCTCCACCTCCCATAGCTTCCAATATTTCCCTGGGAATAGACGATGTGTTGTATCTGTGTGGATTTTCCCCACCTGACGAACCTCTTCAATACGACTCAGGCAGGCACTGCAACGTGGCGCCTGTCCGACGGAGCTTGCTTCGGTGTTAGCGCCAACGTGTGCCTGTCCACCGAAGCTCTCCAGTACGACGACAGCGATGCAACAAGGAAGCACGCCTCAATTCAGCTCAAAACTCCAGCGTGTCCACACCGAAGCTCCTTCAGCACGACTCCAGCGGAGCTGCCCGAGGGTACAGTGCCGGTTTGAATGCATGCTCCGCGTGCGGATCATGTATTACAAAAACAAGGGTCTAGCATTAAAAACCACGATGAGTTCATGCACAAATTTATTCATACCGTAATCATGACTTTAAAATCATGTATATTTAAACATCCGATGTGTTAAACAAACTGTGCCCTGTACACGCACTTGGGCCAACACACGTCCTGAGGCTAATCGAATTTTGTCACGCCGGGCGTGTTCGTCCAGGCTCGGGGCCCGGGGCCGGAACATATCGACGGGATCTGAAGAGAAGATCCTGAGGTGATGTCTCGCAGTGATGTCTTCTGTTTCGCGACGTCGGATCTCTGAGATCAGCAGAGGAAGGGAAACGAGGCATAGACATATGAACTTTCGCAGGTCCCCCTGCCTCCCCTTAGGGCAGAGGGCCACGGGGCGGGGGCTCAACTGGGGCGCTGGGGACGGGGAGGGGGAGGGGGGGAGGTGGTGTGCGTCGCGAGGCGGAATAAAATTGTCGGGGCGGAGGGGCACGGGGCGGAGCCCCCACTGGGGTGCTGGGGACGCGGGGAGGGAGGTGGGGGAGGTGGTGTGCGTCGCGACGCGGAATAAACCGTTCGTGGCGGAAGAGGCAAAGGGCGGGGCTCCCGCTGGGGCGCTGGGGACGCGGGGGGGGGCTCGGGGCATAGAGCCACGGCGCGGGGGTCCCACTCTGGCGCTGGGGGCGCGGGGGGGGGGGGGCTGCGACGCGGAATAAAGCGTTCGCGGCGGGGGGGCAGTGGGCGGGGCTCCGCTGGGGCGCTGGGGACGCGGGGGAGGGCTCGGGGCAGAGAGCACGGCGCGGGGGTCCCACTCTGGCGCTGGGGCGCGGGGGGGGGGGGGGTGGCGACGCGGAATAAAAGCGTTCGTGGCGGAGGGGGCAGTGGGCGGGGCTCCCGCTGGGGCGCTGGGGACGCGGGGGGGGGCTCGGGGCAGACCACGGCGCGGGGTCCCACTCTGGCGCTGGTGGCGCTGGGGGGCGCGGGGGGGGGGGGGCTGCGACGCGGAAATAAAGCGTTCGTGGCGGAGGGGGCAGTGGGCGGGGCTTCCGCTGGGGCGCTGGGGACGCGGGAGGGGGCTCGGGGCAGAGAGCCACGGCGCGGGGGTCCACTCTGGCGCTGGGGGCGCGGGGGGGGGGGGGGGTGCGACGCGGAATAAAGCGTTCGTGGCGGAAGGGGCAGTGGGCGGGGCTCCCGCTGGGGCGCTGGGGACGCGGGGGGGGGCTCGGGGCAGAGAACCACGGCGCGGGGTCCCACTCTGGCGCTGGGGGCGGGGGGGGGACTGCGACGCGGAATAAACCGCTCGTGGCGGAAGAGGCAATGGGCGGGGCTCCCGCTGGGGCGCTGGGGACGCGGGGGGGCTCGGGGCAGAGAGCCACGGCGCGGGGTCCCACTCTGGCGCTGGGGGCGCGGGGGGGGGGCTGCGACGCGGAACAAGTGGCACGCGTGCCCTGGCTCTTGCACAAAGGAGCTGCGAAGGACAGGAGGCCCCCGCCTCGCTCTTCTAGGAAGGGGTTCGGTCGGTGTAGATGTTCATCCCGGATGCAGTTTTGATAAGAGTAGGGTCCGAAAGAGCTCCTGGGGTGTAGGCCACAGGTCTGCTGTCCGGACGAGGACGACGACGAACCACGAACCACGAACCACGAAAATAAAGGGTCGGGGGCGAGGGGAGCTGGGGCCAGGGCCACGGGGGCCGGAGCCAGGGAGTGGAGGCGAGGGGAAGCTGGGGCCAGGGCCAGGGGGGGGCCAGAGCCAGGGGAGGGGGGCGAGGACGACGACGAACCACGAACCACGAACCACCAAAATAAAAGGACCGGGGCGAGGGGGGCTGGGGCCAGGGCCAGGGGGGCCAGAGCCAAGGGAAGGGCGAGGGAAAGCTGGGGCCAGGGCCAGGGGAGCCAGAGCCAAGGGGGGACGAACCACGAACAACGAACCACGAAAATAAAAGGTCCGGGGCGAGGAGGGCTGGGGCCAGGGCCAGGGGAGCCAGAGCCAAGAGGGGGTCGAGGGGAAGCTGGGGCCAGGGCCAGGGGGGCAAGAGCCAATAGGGGCGAGGGAAGCTGGGAGAGGGCCAGAGCCAGGGGGGGGGGGGGGGGGCGAGGACGACGACGAACCCCGAACCACGAAAATAAAGGGTCCGGGCGAGGAAAGCTGGGGCCAGGGCCAGGGGGGCTGGAGCCAGGGGGGAGACGAGGGGGGAAGCTGGGGCCAGGGCCAGGGAGCCAGAGCCAGTGGGGGGGGGGCGAGACGACGACGAACCACAAACCACGAACCACGAAATAAAGGGTCTGGGGCGAGGGGGCTGAGACCGGGCCACGGGGACCAGAGCACGGGGCGAGGCGAGGGGGGCTGGCGCCAGGGCCAGGGGAGCCAGTGCCCAGGAAGGGGCGAGGGAAGCTGGGGCCATGGCCAGGGGGGCTGAGGCCAGAGCTAGGAGGGGGGCGAGGACGACGAGGAACCACGAACCACGAAAATAAAGGATCCGGGGCGAGGGGGCTGAGGCCAGGGCTAAGGGGGCCAGAGCACGGGGCGAGGGGGGCTGAGGCCAGGGCCAGGGGGGCCAGAGCCAGGAGGGGGGGCGAGGGGAAGCTGAGGTCAGGGCCAGGAGAAGCCGACGACGACGACGACGACGACGACGACGACGACGACGACGACAGAGCCAAGGGGGGGGGGGCGAGGACGACGACGAACCACGAACCACGAACCACGAAAATATAGGGTCCGGAGCGAGGGGGGCTGGGGCCAGGGCCAGGGGGGCCGGAGCCAGGGGGGGAGACGAGGGGAAGCTGGGGCCAGGGCCAGGGAGCCGGAGCCAGGGGTGGGGAGCGAGGACGACGACGAACCACGAACCACGAACCACGAAAATAAAGGGTCCGGGGCGAGGGGGGCTGAGACCAGGGCCACGGGGGCCAGAGCACGGGGCGAGGCGAGGGGGGCTGGGGCCAGGGCCAGGGGAGCCAGAGCCCACTAAGGGGGCGAGGGGAAGCTGGGGCCATGGCCAGGGGGGGGCCAGAGCCAGGGGAGGGGGGCCCAGGGGGGCTGCCGTGGGAGGCTCGGGGGAAGGAGGGGTGGAGGGCTGAGGCAAGCAGGGGCAGGCCAGCGGGTGATCCTGAGAGGCCCGGGTGAGGGGGGGGGTCCAGGGCTTGAGAGGGCCAGGGAGGACGACGAACCACGAACGAACGAACCACGAAAATCCGCCGGCCCCCTTGTGGGGCCACCAGGCTGTAGGCGCGTGTTTCGCAGTTTCCTGTACCAGTCGTAGGTTGTAGTTTCCAGTGTTACAGTTCTGCTTCTTGCTGGTTACTGTAACTAGTTGACTTCTTGCTGGTTACTGTAACTAGTTGATTGACCGCGCGAGGGGGGGGGAGGCCCAAACAGGATTTTTAGCTTCACCTGGGCGCGTTGTCTGAATTGCTGGGGGGGCTCGAAATCAACACCCCTCACGCAGATCCGCGGGGTCAGGGTCCAAAAACACATGGGATTTGCCACATTTCTGAAATTCGGTGCCACCCCTCACGCAGATCCGCGGGGTCAGGGTCCAAAAACACAAAGGGATTTGCCACATTTCTGAAATTCGGTGCCACCCCTCACGCAGATCCGCGGGGTCAGGGTCCAAAAACACATGGGATTTGCCACATTTCTGAAATTCGGTGCCACCCCTCACGCAGATCCGCGGGGTCAGGGTCCAAAAACACAGGGGATTTGCCACATTTCTGAAATTCGGTGCCACCCCTCACGCAGATCCGCGGGGTCAGGGTCCAAAAACACATGGGATTTGCCACATTTCTGAAATTCGGTGCCACCCCTCACGCAGATCCGCGGGGTCAGGGTCCAAAAACACATGGGATTTGCCACATTTCTGAAATTCGGTGCCACCCCTCACGCAGATCCGCGGGGTCAGGGTCCAAAAACACATGGGATTTGCCACATTTCTGAAATTCGGTGCCACCCCTCACGCAGATCCGCGGGGTCAGGGTCCAAAAACACAGGGGATTTGCCACATTTCTGAAATTCGGTGCCACCCCTCACGCAGATCCGCGGGGTCAGGGTCCAAAAACACATGGGATTTGCCACATTTCTGAAATTCGGTGCCACCCCTCACGCAGATCCGCGGGGTCAGGGTCCAAAAACACAGGGGATTTGCCACATTTCTGAAATTCGAACCCATCACGCACATCCATCGCAAGGCGTGGTAACCCAAACTGCGAGAACTCCCTCGGCCCTTTCATCGCAAGGTGTGGTAACCAAGCCCTTAAACCATACACGTCTTACCAATCGCCAGGTGTGGTAACCCCTCTTGTGATCAGTTGGTTTTGCTGATTGCGACTCGGCTTCGCATGAAGTTTCGATACTGCTTCACGACAGCGCCAAGGCCTCATGACTTAGCTCTTCCATGGCTCATTCTCCGAGAGAGGGGGCCGGCGGCAGGGGGCGAAGCCCTTACGGATAAAGGCTTCGGCGGCCCAGAGGGGCTGCCCTGGGAGGCCCGTGAGGAGGAGAGGTCCAGGCCCGAGGGAAGCAGGGCAGGCCAGCGGGTGATTCTGGGAACCCCGGGGGGGGGGTGCAGGGCCCGAGGTGGCCAGGAGCAGGCCAGCGGGTAATCCTGGGAGGCTCGGGGGAGGGGGGGGCCCAGAGCCCGAGAGGGCCAGGGAGGACGACGAACCACGAACGAACGAACCACGAAAATAAAGAGGGGGGGTGCAGGGCCCGAGGTGGCCAGGAGCAGGCCAGCGGGTAATCCTGGGAGGCTGGGGGGAGGGGGGGGGTCCAGAGCGCGAGAGGGCCAGAGAGGACGACGAACCACGAACGAACCACGAAAATAAAGAGGTCCGAGCTCTAGAGCACAGCTGTGCAAGAGAATAAAGTAGTCGGAGCTCTAGACACCCTGTGCAAGAGAACGCATAATGCATAAGGAACGATAAAGAACGCATGCAAACCTGAGGGACGAAATGTTCCTTATAAAAACCGCGCACTCGATGGACGAGACATGGATCGCCTACGTCCAACGAGAAAACCCAAAGGTACCGCTACCGCTACTCCCCGGACCTCTGCAGGGGTGCGTTCCGACCAGGGTTCCGAAGCGAATCCAGCGGTGGCGGCGAGGGCCTTCGGTAGCGGTATGGGTACCTTTTCCTCTTCTGGTCCAACATGTAGAACGACGATTCAGACAAACAGGCACGGGGGGGGGCTCTTCCCCAAAAAGTTGCCCGCTGCTGGAAGACATCTTAGAGTTAGGTCGAGCATGTCCTTCTACAGGCGGATCTTGAAAGGAAAATAGAAAATCAAACAATACGTAGCACCCCGCAATTACGGATAAGAGGGAGGGGGCGGGCGCGGGCGACGCGGGCGTCGTCAAGCCGGCGGACCTCGTGGCCCCCACCTTCCTTGTCGATGGCGCTATCCTCCTCCTCCTCCTCCGCCTCCTCCTCCTCTTCCTCGTCCTCGTCCTCGTCCTCATCGTCATCGTCGTCCTCCTCCTCCTCTTCTTCCTCGTCCTCCCTCTCTCCCCCTCGTCCGTCCATCATCGCCCTCCCATTGTCGTAATTTTCCTCCTCGTCGTCTTCCTCCTCTCCCCCCCCTTCCCGATCCTCCCCCCTCCTCCTTTTCGTCGTCGTCGTCGCCGTCGTCGTCGTCCCTTCCTCCTCCTCCTCCTCCTCCTCCTCCTCCCTCCTCCACCTCCTCCTCCTCCTCCTCGTCCTCCTGCAAAAGCAGCCCGCCGCAGGCGCCGAAAATGTTGTTTGTACACTGACGTGGTTTGGGTCGCGGATGGGCCGCGGGGGTTCTCCACCTAGAACGAATGCAAAAGATGCCCGCCAGGCGCCGAAAATGTGGTTTATACCCTGAACGTGGTTGTGGGTGGGCCGCGGTCTCTCCACCTAGAACGAATGCAAAAGATGCCCGCCGCAGGCGCCGAAAATGTGGTTTGTACCCTGAACGTGGTTTGGGTCGCGGGTTGGTCGCGAGTTGGTCGAGGGTGGGTCGCGGCTCTCCACCTGGAAAGAATGCAAAAAAGCCCGCCGCAGGCGCCGAAAATGTTGGTTTGTACCTTGAACGTGGTTTGGGTCGAAAGTGGGTCGGGTGGGTCGCGGGTGGGTCGCGGGTCGCGGGTGGGCGGGTCGCGGGGTGGGTCGCGGGTGGGTCGCGGGTGGGTCGCGGGGTGGGTCGCGGGGTGGGTCGCGGGTGGGTCGCGGGTGGGTCGCGGGGTGGGTCGCGGGGTGGGTCATGCGCGGGTGGGTCGCGGGTGGGTCGCGGGGTGGGTCGCGGGGTGGGTCGCGGGGTGGGTCGCGGGGTGGGTCGCGGGGTGGGTCGCGGGTGGGTCGCGGGTGGGTCGCGGGTGGGTCGCGGGTGGGTCGTGGGGTGGGTCGCGGGTGGGTCGCGGGGCGGGTTGCGGGTGGGACGGACAACAAACAACAAAACAACAACAACAACAAAACAACAACAACAACAACAACAAACAACAACAAACAAAAACAACAACAACAACAACAACAACAACAACAACAACAACAACAACAACAACAACAACAACAACAACAACAACACAACAACAACAACAACAACAACAACAATTACTAGCACGTGGGGACACTCCGTTCTCACCAGTGCCAGGGTTTTCATAGGAGGCGGGCAATACCCCCACTTTGTGGGGGGGCCGGTTCAAGCTCTACCAAATTTCCAAACGACTCTTCGCCACCACCCACACCCAGCTTCCCGCCCTATGACGTTCGGACACTTCACTTCGTGGCCTGCGGACGACCTTGGCTACTACACTGGCGCATGGGTACAATGACTTGTTGTGGTAACATTTTCTGTAAGCTAGCTTAGTATACGACTTTTCCCCTGCAATTGAAGATTTCGGCGTGCGCGCGCGAAGAAAAAACGAATGTGTCCCATATGGTATTATTTGACAGGGATGATGGCCCTGGCAGGCGCGCAACCGTTGTTGCAGAAGTTCGAAGCACGTGAAAAAGTTGCTCGCAAGAGCCCGTTTGACAGAAATGTTGAAAAAGTATTGGGTTTCCTAAGAAATCCGCAAGAGCGCGCGGGATGAATTTTTGAAACTTTGTTTTTGAAAAACCATTGGGTTTTTCATGTTTTTATGTTAAATTCGCTACGAAAACTAAGGTTTTGGAAGGATTTCATCTTGCGCGCGCGAGTGTGCACTTCGTGCCATTTTTTGCAAAGGATTCTTGAAGTTTGGTTATGTTAGAACAAGACATGTCATTTTATATTGTTTTTTGACAGGGAAAGCGGGCGTCAACAAAACAACCGGATCATGACTCCCCCGTTTTGCCTGAGACTTCCTAACGAAAATCATCAAAATGTGGCTGCGGCCTAGGCGCGGCGAGGGGGGCGTGCACCAGGGGGCCCAACAATAATTATTCTTTAAAAGTAATAATTTGAGGGAGTTTCTGTGGAACTCACGTCATCCTCACCCCCGGCGCGAAAAGCACGAGCCCAGAGCGGCCTCCGGCACCGTTTCCGGACGGATCCGCTGGATCCGCTGGATCCGGTGACGAATCCCAAACCGGCGCCCTCGCCTGAGACATCCTCACAAAACGGGCCCCGGGGGGGATGCCCAGAGGAGCCCAGAGCGGCCTCCGGCACCGTTTCCGGACGGCGGATCCGCTGGATCCGCTGGATCCGGTGACGAATCCCAAACCGTCGCCCTCCTGAGACATCCTCACAAAACGGTGCCCAGAGGAGCCCAGAGCGGCCTCCGGACCGTTTCCGACAAATCCGCTGGATCCGGTGACGAATCCCAAACCGGCGCCCTCGCCTGAGACATCCTCACAAAACGGGCCCCGGGGGGGATGCCCAGAGGAGCCCAGAGCGGCCTCCGGCACCGTTTCCGGACGGATCCGCTGGATCCGCTGGATCCGGTGACGAATCCCAAACCGGCGCCCTCGCCTGAGACATCCTCACAAAACGGGCCCCGGGGGGGATGCCCAGAGGAGCCCAGAGCGGCCTCCGGCACCGTTTCCGGACGGATCCGCTGGATCCGCTGGATCCGGTGACGAATCCCAAACCGGCGCCCTCGCCTGAGACATCCTCACAAAACGGGCCCCGGGGGGGATGCCCAGAGGAGCCCAGAGCGGCCTCCGGCACCGTTTCCGGACGGATCCGCTGGATCCGCTGGATCCGGTGACGAATCCCAAACCGGCGCCCTCGCCTGAGACATCCTCACAAAACGGGCCCCGGGGGGGATGCCCAGAGGAGCCCAGAGCCTCCGGCACCGTTTCCGGACGGATCCGCTGGATCCGCTGGATCCGCTGGATCCGGTGACGAATCCCAAACCGGCGCCCTCGCCTGAGACATCCTCACAAAACGGGCCCCGGGGGGGATGCCCAGAGGAGCCCAGAGCGGCCTCCGGCACCGTTTCCGGACGGATCCGCTGGATCCGCTGGATCCGCTGGATCCGGTGACGAATCCCAAACCGGCGCCCTCGCCTGAGACATCCTCACAAAACGGGCCCCGGGGGGGATGCCCAGAGGAGCCCAGAGCGGCCTCCGGCACCGTTTCCGGACGGATCCGCTGGATCCGCTGGATCCGGTGACGAATCCCAAACCGGCGCCCTCGCCTGAGACATCCTCACAAAACGGGCCCCGGGGGGGATGCCCAGAGGAGCCCAGAGCGGCCTCCGGCACCGTTTCCGGACGGATCCGCTGGATCCGCTGGATCCGCTGGATCCGGTGACGAATCCCAAACCGGCGCCCTCGCCTGAGACATCCTCACAAAACGGGCCCCGGGGGGGATGCCCAGAGGAGCCCAGAGCGGCCTCCGGCACCGTTTCCGGACGGATCCGCTGGATCCGCTGGATCCGCTGGATCCGGTGACGAATCCCAAACCGGCGCCCTCGCCTGAGACATCCTCACAAAACGGGCCCCGGGGGGGATGCCCAGAGGAGCCCAGAGCGGCCTCCGGCACCGTTTCCGGACGGATCCGCTGGATCCGCTGGATCCGCTGGATCCGGTGACGAATCCCAAACCGGCGCCCTCGCCTGAGACATCCTCACAAAACGGGCCCCGGGGGGGATGCCCAGAGGAGCCCAGAGCGGCCTCCGGCACCGTTTCCGGACGGATCCGCTGGATCCGCTGGATCCGCTGGATCCGGTGACGAATCCCAAACCGGCGCCCTCGCCTGAGACATCCTCACAAAACGGGCCCCGGGGGGGATGCCCAGAGGAGCCCAGAGCGGCCTCCGGCACCGTTTCCGGACGGATCCGCTG